AAGTCCCTGGACTGCCCAGTCAAGGAAGAGGGAGTAGGAGGCGGAGTGGTTGGCTCCTCTGTGGTATGGCGGTGGATTGGAGGGGGCCAGGCCAGGACTAAAGCCTGTAGCACTAAGTTGTCAGTAAACAAGGTGACAAGGCTGAGCTGATGCAGAGTGGAGCGCAGCTGTGGAAAGCCTTCAGGTGGGACATGGCCAGGAGGGATGCACTGAGGGGAGTCTGAGGCCTAGAAAGATAATCAGATCTCAGGCCTGGCAGAGGGGCACAGAAATAGAGACCTTTGTCTCCCTCAGATGAAGAGACCCCGAGCTCCAAGGAGGCCACGGCGGAGACCACCAGCTCAGAGGAGGAGCAGGAGCCTGGCTTCCTGCCACTGTCTGGCTCCTTTGGGCCTGGCGGTCCCTGTGGCACCAGCCCAATGGATGGGAGAGCCCTTCGCCGCTCTAGCCGTGGCTCCTTCACCCGGGGCAGCCTTGAGGACCTGCTGAGCGTTGACCCTGAGGCCTACCAGAGCTCCGTTTGGCTGGGCACTGAGGACGGCTGGTAGGGCCAGGGAGTGGCTGGGGTCAGAGTGCCAGAACTCTGAGCTCCCTGCTTTGGAGATTGTGTGGTGTCTTGGAGCGGAAGCAGGCGGGCTTTGGGTCAGACCCCAGGGGTCCTGCTAGCCAGAACTGCCTGTATGTCTGAAGCCCACAGGGAGGCTGTGGGACCTTGGGCAGGCGCCTGGCGTGGAGGAGATGGTGGTGGAGGGCAAGAGGTGGAGGGATGACCCCAGGGACTGGGGTGCCCAAGCATTTGTCACAGGTGCACACCCCCGATCCACAGCGTCCACGTGTACCAGTCCTCGGACAGCATCCGTGATCGCAGGAACAGCATGAAGCTCCAGCATGCAGCCTCCGTGACCTGCATCCTGTAAGCACCCCAGGTGGCCCTACTAGTCCAGACCCTTCTCAGCCACATATGCAGGCCTCCTTCTGTTCATCCAGGTTCCCTGCTCTACTGGCCTCCTCCTTTCTGTGGAGGCTGGAGGCCAGAGGCCTGGTCCTAGGCTCGCCGTGCCTCGGGCAAGTCACTACCCCTTCCTGGACTCATGCTCCCCCTACCTGGAGAGGTGGTCTCTCGGGAACCATGGCCATTCTGTCTGTGATTCTCTTGACCCAGGTGACCTGCTTTGGCCTCCTGAAATCTCTAACCTCTGGCTCCATTTCTTGCCTGCCTAGGTATCTGGATAACCAGGTGTTTGTATCTCTAGCCAATGGAGAACTTGTGGTCTACCAAAGAGAAGCAGGTGAGTGGCCAGCCCTCCCCCAGCCCCAGGAGCCCCTTGCTGATAGTGGAGCTCTCTCCTGAGCAAAGCTGGGCCTTGAGGACACGAGTCTAGAAATGTGGCTTTGGGCAACTCCCAGGCCCTCTCTGGGCCTTCATGTCCTTGTTTATAAGTGGGGTTGTTTGCATCTCACTTCAGGGGAGGGTGAGGCTCAAATGCAATACTGGACTGAATTTGCATTATTTTCTTTACCCCACTCCCACTCCAGGCCGTTTCTGGGACCCCCAGAACTTCAAATCGGTGACCCTGGGTGCTCAGGGGAGCCCCATCACCAAGATGGTGTCTGTGGGTGGGCGGCTATGGTGTGGCTGCCAGAACCGAGTCCTTGTCCTGAGCCCTGACACACTGCAGCTGGAGGTAGTGGGGCAGGAGGGGGATAGTAAGGGGTCAGAATTCCTGACTTTTGGGTGAGCCAGCCCCATGGGAGAGGAAGATGAGACTGTGGGGGCCATAAAAAAGCACACATCTGTCCAGGGAGAGGCCAATGATTGGTCTTAAAACCCTTCAATCTTTGGAATTCTCCTATCATTAAGTCACTCAAGTTTCATGGGGAAAGTGCACCTATTCATTTTAATTTCTGAAGATTAAGTGGGGAGGCTCCAGTGAAACCACACTTTGAAAGATTAATCATCTAGACCAAGGAACAAGGCTGCCTTTGCTGTCAGTCCAGGTGGGCTTTCTGGAGAGGTTTGGTGTGAGTTGTAAAAGGGAGGGATGGGCACCGATGAAGCACAAGGCAGGCCTGGCAGTCACCCGTCTGCTCTCTTCTTGCCCCGTCCCCCACCAGCACACGTTCTACGTGGGGCAGGATTCCAGCCGCAGTGTGGCCTGCATGGTGGACTCCAGTCTGGGCGTGTGGGTGACACTGAAAGGTAGTGCCCACGTGTGTCTCTACCATCCAGACACCTTTGAGCAGCTGGCAGAGGTAGACGTCACACCTCCCGTGCACAGGATGCTGGCAGGTACTGACCTCAGTCTACCACTGTGCCCTCCCTTGAAGCCTTTCTGCCCCATCCTTGAGGAGGCTGAGCCAGCGCCAGGATTCGGCCCCAGCTCTGGTCTGTCTCCCGCCCCAGGCTCAGACGCCATCATCCGGCAGCACAAGGCCGCGTGCCTGAGGATCACAGCGCTGCTGGTGTGTGAAGAGCTGCTGTGGGTGGGCACCAGTGCCGGCGTCGTGCTCACCATGCCCACCTCGCCCAGCACTGTCAGCTGCCCACGGGCGCCCCTCAGCCCTGCTGGCCTAGGCCAGGGACACACTGGCCACGTCCGCTTCTTGGCTGCAGTCCAGCTGCCAGATGGCTTCAACCTGCTCTGCCCAACCCCACCACCTCCCCCAGACACAGGTGGGTCTGCACATCCTGCCCCAACCCAGGGATCCTGGACTCTTGGTTCAGGGCTCCCACTATCCTGCCAGAAGAGGTTTACGAGGGAGGAAAAGTGTGATACAGAGGTGAAAGTGGCATATGGTACAGGAAGTAGGCTATGGAAACCCCAAAATGAAATCTACTAAGATACGGGGGGGGGGGGGTGGGGGGGTGGGGGGTGTGTGTGTGTGTGTGTGTAAAGTTCTGTCCAGAGAAGTGTCATGGGAGACAGGAAGTGAACTATAAGCTATGAATTAGAACATGGCACAGGAGGGGATATGTACAACAGGTAATAAAACAGGACTAGAAATGATGTACAGGGCAGGAAGTGGAGTCAAGTAAGCAATGTGCAGTGCAGGAATTAGAAATAGCACCAGAGAGCAGAACATAGAATGGCAGATGGGACAGGAAATGGACTGTGAGAATTAGAAAGTGAAACATAATTAGGCAGCGATGTGCATCAAGGAGGTCGCTATTAGCAGTCTTGCTTTGGCAGGGCAGGAAACCATATTCCCAAGAGGAGCTGGCTGTGGGAATCGGGAAGTAGGGAGGCCTCCGTCAGGAGCTGTCTGGGTCCGCAGAAGACTTAAGCTACTTACCTGGGAAAGGGCTGTTGGAAGCAGGAAATGAGTATGAGGAGGACAGTGTGTGTGCAGTAATCAAGAGAGAGAGAAATGGTGTGGCCCTGGGAGGATGTGTCACTCCTGACTAGAAAGTATGGACGGGAGGTAAGAAGTGGTCTGACTGCCAGGAAGTGGTCATTTCTTTGCAAATAGGAAGTTCTTGGCTAACAGGAAGTGGGATCTCCCACAGGAAGCGGGCATGTCTTTCTTCCTGTCTTCTGGGGTACAGGACAGTGTGGCCACTAGTCACCCCCCGGGCTAATGGATCCTCCCCTCTGTCCCCCAGTCCCCGAGAGGCTGCCATCACTTGAGCACCGGGACTCCCCTCGGCACCGAGGACCCGCCTCAGCCAGGCCTAAAATGCTGGTTATCAGTGGAGGTGATGGCTATGAGGACTTCCGACTCAGCAGTGGGGGTGGCGGCAGCAGCGAGACCGTGGGCCGAGATGACAGCACAAACCACCTCCTCCTATGGAGGGTGTGACCCTGTCCGCTAGGGCCCAGGACTCACCCGCCCGCCTGCCCTCAGCCTGCTTGCCTCTCCCTAGTCCACACGCAGACTCTGACCAGGAGTGTCTGCCCAGGGGCACCCCTGTGCCTGCATGGGCTCCCTCCCATCCTCGCAGAAGCATTCCTGATGGAACACCTGCTGGCCAGTGGGCCAAGGCCTTTCCCGACCCTCTGGCTGCTTGGGTGCGCCCAGTCATGATGGGGGTGGGGTGGGGGGCATGCGGGCTGCCCAGGTCTTCTGCCCCTGGAGCTTCAACCAAAGACACGGCCGGGCCTGGACCCTACAGGGCTGGGGGGGGCCATGTGCAATATTTGGAGGGTTTTCTGGGGGCAGTGGGAGGGCTGGGGGACAGAATCCTTTCCCGTGTACAGTATTTATGTTCCTTTTTAGATGTGTCCCTTCCCAAGCACTTATTTATGCAATGACCTGAGGCAGGGGGTGATGTGAGGAAATGACAGAAGGACAAACACCCTATTCCTGCCCTGGGACCCTAACCAAGCCTTCCTGGAGGGACCATTCCCCCATTACATACATGCGCACACGCACGCACACACATACACACACACTCTGCATGTTCAGGGCACCACAACACCGCCTCCCAACATACACTTTCCATGGCCTTGTCGTGATCGGGCTGCCCTCCAGTATCCAGAGCCAAGGACCAAGTCCCCTCAGTCAGTCATCCAGAACAAGATGATGACTGGGGGGTGTGACTCCCATCTGGAGGGCCTCCCCAGGCGTTGGCCTTTCCTGGCTTGTTGGCAGTGCCTTTAGTGGTGTCCGAGTTTGGGAACACTGATGGGGCCTTGGACAGGGCTCTCTCCGGGCCTGAGCAGGGAAAAGGGCCCTCGCTCTCCTCAAAGTTGCCCCCTAGCCACCAGCCCCTGTGTCTCATGCACTGGCACATATGGTCGCCTTGAGAGGGTGGACCTAGCAGCCCCCTCACTCTGACCACTGAATCCCTCTCTTCATACCCCTCCTGCCAGGGGCAGCCCCTCCAGGAAGGATGCCCAAAGCTGAGGGGCTGGACATGGCCTCTTCAACTGGGAACCACTTGAGGGCAGCCTCTCCCCTGCCCCCTGGACTTCAGGGGCCAGTCTGCCCCCCAGCCCCCTCGCTGCTTCAGCTACAGCTCCAAAGGTCTGGTTTCAGATGGGATTTGTTTGGTTCTGTTTTTGTTTGGGGTGGGTGGGTCATTGTGGTCTTAGATTATGTTTCTCTTGCTACCAAACAGTCATGTATTAACTTTCCCTGGATGATGAAGTTTAAAGAGTCAATAAATAGAAATACCAAATGACTCCTCCCATCCGCGGCCGCAGTGGCATCCTGCCAGTGACCTCAGGGCTCCCCAGCCGCATGGGCCTCCTGACACCCACTTACTTGGGCAGAAGGGAGGGCTGAGAGCCCCAGAAGGGCGCTGGGATGGCAAGGCTGCCTCTGACTTGCTGAGTTATCTTGCGCGGGTCATCGCCCTTGTCTGGGCTGCAGTTTCCTCATCAGGAAAACAAGGGGTTCTGCAGATCCACTGCTTTGTAACCAAGGCCTCGGTTAGAATCCCTTGGAGAGCACGTGGAAATATAAAGCATAAGACATAAATTTATAGCCATAGAAACACACATTCCCAGGCTCCCCTCAGCTTCTGGGTCAGTGGGTCTGTGATGGGGCTGGGGAATCGGAAGCTGACACGTACTGCAAGTGGAAAACCGGGCAACTGGTGAGCCTGCCCACGGCTCCTCCGTGAGAGTGCTCTCTCTCCAGCAAAACGCCATCGAGGCTGGGGAACCCGAAAGGCCGAGGGGAGCAGGGGTAGAACCCAAGTCTGTCTGATTTTGGGTCCAAAGAGGTGTGTCATTAAGTCAGACACGGAAGGCAAAGGTCAGCAACTTGAGGCCATGCTTCGCTGGGCAGACAGCCCTTCCCACCGGGGTCCACCTGCAGGACTCAAGACGATGACTTCTAGCAAAGGGCGGATCATGCCTCAGCTCTGCTGAACATACGTGTATACGTTTTCCAACACGAATGATTGAGACTTCACAAAAAGCCCTTGCTAAAGAGGAGTGCAGGCAAACTGGCATGCACACTTATCGGTGGTCTGCTGGGCCCTCCGTGCCGTACGACATGCATGGCACATCTCCCTGCAGCATCGCTTTACTGGGAAGACCTGGGGAGGAGGGGATTCTATTAAACATAGATTTCCAAATAGAAAGCAATGTTCTTGTGGAATTTATGATGAAACAGAGCATTAGAAGGAGCACAGGCCTTGAAGCTGAACAGAAGTCTTGACTTTGTCGCTAACTAGCTAAGTGTCTTTGGATGAGCCGTATCCCCTGTCTCCATTTCCTCATCTGTAAAATGGGGCTGATAATCCTTTGCCCACAAGGCTGTTGCTTGCTGGGCACAGGTCTTTGGATTGCAAGGAAGAGATTCGTTCTTCCCTGAAATAAAAGGGGGGCTCATTAGTGGAGACGTGAACTGGCAGTAAGTAGCTGTCAGCACACAGGCCCAGATCTTGGAGCTCCGTCTCAGGACCCCTGGCCTCTCTACTTTGAGTCCCTGGTTCATCCCTCCCCGCCAGACAGCTGCTGTTCTAACTGCTTCACACCTCCTGCTGCCTCAAGGCCTCTGCCCGCTTTGTCTCGGGGCCCTGGACAGACTGTAGTTTCAGCACCATATACCCACGGCGGGTCCTCAGCGTCTTCCCAGCTCAAGTGCTTCAGTAGGAATGGGCCTGGTCCCGCCCACTGTGACCTCGGGGGCCTCGTCCCGAGGCATGGCTGCCATGGACAGGTGCGCAGCCCTGAGCCAGTCAGCTGTGGGTGGGGAGGTCCTGGGATGAATGGTTGTCAGGCCCCAGGCCCAGGGGAGACTCCTGGAAGGATCGGCTCCTCTAAAGCAGTGGTCCTCAACCTCGGCTGCACATTCGAATGCCCTGAGGAGCCCAGGCCACATGCCAGGCCAATTCAATCAGAATTCTGAGAGGGGGGCCCAGGTGTCGGTATTTTTTTAGAAAACTTTTTATTGACGTGCAACGTTTGTACAGAAAAGTACACCAGTCATTAGAGTGCAGCCCGATGAATTTTCATAAAGTGAACACATCCAGATCAAGAAACATTTCATCACCCCAAAAGCAGGTCCCCATAAGCCCCCTCCCGGTCTACCCTCCAAGGCTAATCACCACCCGGGCTCCCGACATCAGGACTTAGTTTTGCCAGCTGAGGGGGAGAAGCACTCTTTAAAGGGTATGGCCATGGCCACTGGGGTGGGAGGAAGTGGGGCTGGGGTTTGGCATGAAGAGGAAACAGCTTGAGCCAAAGCAGGAGGGGTGGGGGAGCCTGGAGCGAGGGGCCATGGTATAGGCCCAGCTGGAGCAGAGGGGAAAGAAGAGAAGGCAGCGAAGCCGGAATGTGAGCTCCATGAGGGGGACTTTTGTTCTTTGCTCCGTCCCCAGGCTGCGTGCAGTGCCTGACACACACTGGGCGCTCAGTAAACTTTTGTTGATTTAATTCTGGAGAATTCAGTTGGGATCCACCTCCGGGTCTTGAATGTCAGAGAACAATAAGCCCAGCTCCCGTTTACTGAGGGTGTGCTGCATGGATCATCTCGTTTAATCCTCACAATAGTCCTGGGAGGTTGGTACCATCGTTATCCTCTTTTTCAGATGAGGAAACCGAGGTTCAGAGAGGTGAAATGCCTTCCTCAAGGTCACCTGCCTCCTAAGCTGTAGAGCCTGAATTCACATGCGATCTGTCTGCTCAGGTCTCTGCCTCATGGAGGGGAGGAAGGGCAGCCACATGGGGTGGCTGGAGGACAGGAGACAGAGCCTGAGTAGCCAGAGCCACATCAGTCACTCATGAGGTATCTGGCTCGTGTTCCTCAGACCAGGCCTGGGCAGAGTGTCCTGACCTCAGAGGATGGGAGAGAGTCAGGGCCAAAAGCCATCTCTTCTCCAGAAGGATTCTCCAGGTGGTCCCTTGGGCTAGGGACAGAGAGCAGGGTTTGGCTAGGCATCTACCTCATGGGGAAGATGAACCACAGGGAGGGACAGGGACTTACCTAAGGTCAGACAGCAAGGCAGCATTGAGGCCAGGAGTGAGTGTAGAGGAGAGCCCAGGTGGGAAGGTTTCCTGTGGTCAGAAAATTCAGAGAATAGCCTTAGAACCCAGAAAGCACAGAGCTCGATTAGCTGATCTCCAGGGACCCTGTCACACACCTGGAATTGGAGTCAGCACTTGTCTGTATGGCCAGAGGGCTTGGCCAAGGGAGCAGCAAGTAGGGCTAAGGCCTTGGCTTAGACCTGGGCAGCACCTTGGGAGGGGATGGGGGACCCAGGGGTCTAAACTCAAGCCTCAGCCCTGACCTCCCTCACTGTGAGACCCTAGGCAAGTGTTTGCCCTCTCTAGACATAGGTGACCTCCGAAAGCCCTTCACAGCTTCCGCATGCCTGCCAAACACCAAGTGTCTCTTCTGTCCTTAAGCCACAGGCCAAGTTGCAGGAAATGGCAAGGGGAAGTGCTATTTTGGGCCCGTTATGGCCCATGAAGAGCCCTGCCTGGCAAAGGCAAGTGAATGGGCATCCCCAGCCAGGTCAGGGGTAGACTGCGGGGCTGAACTGGGGAGGGGGACCGCGAACAGGCTCTGGGGACAAGTAAGGGCAGAGCCCTTGCCAGCTGTGGGGAGGACACGGGGCAAACACGGAAGGTGGGGGAAGGGAGGGAACAGAAGGGGGTTCCCAAGCCCAGTGGCCTATAGGAGCTGGTGCTCCCCACATGGGGTCTCAGCAGATTCTCACAACACCCTGCATGGGTGAGCTTTTATTCAGAGAGGTAAAGTCATTTGCTTAAGGCTACACAGCCCGGCAATGGCAGCACTGGGAGTTGACCGCCATCTGTGTGACACCAAAGCCCAACCCCAGTGGGATTCCAGACTCAGGCCAGGGTCCGGACCTAAATGTGGACTGAACCTAGCCCTCAAGCCCAGTCAGTCCCAGCTCAGCTCCTGCTCCATCCCACCCAGGCTGAACCCCACCCTGGACTCTTCATTCCAGTTACTCCTTAGATCAAGCCCACCCTCCCCCTGGAGCTAAGGCACAAACACAGGAGGGCAGCCCACCTTCCGAGGGGTAGAACTTGGCCAGCTGGGGGTTGGCAAAGCACAGAGCGTTGGTGTTTGAGCCCTGGACATACCTCCCGCTTTAGACTTCCATGTTGCAATTCAAGTGCAGCCAGCAGAGGGCGCCACCACTTCTGGTCCACAACCCCAGAGACTGACCTGTGCTCAGATTCCCTGCAAACCACCAGAAGCCCTGCCTCTGATCCCGTGGTGCAGCATCCCCACCCCAGGCAGGGCCTCAGTGGAACATGGAGCCCCTGCCTCTGCCTCTGGATCACCATCATAGCTCATCCCAGCTTACTGGGGCCTTGTGCTGTGCCAGCTAGCATGAGGTGCAGGCCTTCTCTGGGCTCATTTCACTGGCTGCACTATGAGAGGTTCAACCAGATGGTCTCTGAGGTCCCTGAGCTCAGACGTAATGCTAAGATTCTGTGGGTCCATCTGAGATGCCAGGAGTTCTAAAAACCTGAGATTCTGAGAGTCCTTTGTTCTTCAGCCTGTGGTTCTCCAAGCCCCATAAAAAGCCAACCTAAATCTCTCCTGTGGCCTCTACACCTCCTTCCCTGTCTCCTCACTGTAGCAGCTAGATGCTCCCAGACTCTTGGGCAGAGTCCCACCTGCAGCTCACTGTGGTTCGGGAGTCAGAGCCAGCAGTAAGTAATAATTAGGTTCCCTCTCAACCTGAGGGGGTGGGGGTGAGATGTGGGCAGACTGTGGCTCCAGGAGACCTGACTCTGTGGAGCTGCAGCCTGAGGGCCCAGAGTTGCCACCTAGAGCCCTCAGAACCACAGGAGGGACGGCCTCAGCCCCTCCATCCCTGACCTTTTCTCCTTGTTCAGGTGGCTGCTGCCCACCCTGACCACGCGGCCAGGTCAGGCAGATCACTTCCCACAGAGAATGAGAATGACCTTCGGGCAACAAGTGTGGCAGCCGAATTATCAGATGGGGAAACTGAGTCGAGGGAGGGATTTAACCAAAGCCTCACAGAGAGCTAGTAGTAGAAATAGGCCTGAACCCTCTGTAGGATGTCTGATTAATAGCGGGTGCTCCTTGACCAAAAAGCAGATCCCCATTTAGTCTCTTGAGTGGCATGTGAAATGCCACTATTCGAACTCCTGAACTTGGAAGTGAGGTATAGAAGGTCCTCATACAAAGAAAATAGTTGCAGGAATAGAGGGCATCCTGGGCTGCTCTGGCCCCCTCACCAGGTCCCCAGCATGGATCCTCTCTTGGCACCCTCTGTGGGCTCGGATGTGGGATATGTGACTGCCGACGAAAATAATCCATAACCAATCTATAAATGAAAATTTGGGTGAGTTTATTCTGAGCTGAAATCTGAGGACCATGGCCCAGGGCCTTTCTTCCCGAAGGAAGAAAGGGCACCAAAGAAGTGGGGTGCACAGAGTGGTTATATACCCCCAAACAGGACGTTTCACATATGATTGAAATGTCCCTCCCACAATAGTCACAAGATTGCCTTATCGGCACAGCGCTTGATGTACAGAGCAGGTGGTGGGTCTGCTCTCTCGGAGGGAGCAGCAGGAGGCAAGTCTATTGTCTTGAGCTGGGTGGTCTCAGGTGAGCGCAGCAATCAGTTTCTAGCCTAAGGAAAGATGCTTAATCCTTAAGGGAATGCCAACGTTGGGAGGGAGAGGGAAGTTGCACCTTTATCTCAAGGGCCTTTGCTCTTGCCATGGGGAATCTCTAAAGCAGATATACAATGTGTGCTCACTGGCCTCCGTCAGGCCCTTTTGGAAAGACAAGGACAGGCTGAATTAGGTTTACACAAAATGGCTTCCTCATATACTCCAATATATCCTATTACTTGCCATTTTTATTTGTCATGACCCTGGGATCACGCCAGCAGGCCTGGAGGTCTTCACTGCTGTACAAGGGGACTGGGGCTAGGATCCCGACACCAGTGACCTTAAGTCCTTTCTGCCCTTCCCTCACAACCTGGGCATGGCCCAGAGAAATGGAAACTCTTCCCCGGCCCCCTCCCTCTGCAGGTGTCCAGTTCTCCTCCTGGAATCTCTTGGACCCTGGGGAACTGACCTTCCCCCCCGCTCACCCCACGGCTCAGATTCTATGACTCAGTTTGTTTAGAATTCTCTACTCCCCCTCCACAATCTATCCTCAACAGACTTATTTACCTTCCTCCACCTCTGTCATGGGCTGTGATTATCCTGACGGCAGCCAGGCCTCTCTCCCAGCACGAGGCCCTCCCTTCTGTCTGCATCTTCCAGCCTTGCTGTCCTGGGAGGGCCACCTGGGGTCCCCTGAATGGTACTGAGTGGGAAATTCAGGCTGCTGGGCTGCTGTCTCCAGTTTGGCCCACCATACCGCACAACTGTAGGGGGCACGATTCACAGAGCTGGGAATACAATGTGAATAGTGTCCCAGAGTCCCTAGTCACTGCCCTGCTGGGCACCCTGATGGGTGGCATTGGGAACTGGCAGGGTAGGAAAGCTGGTGGTAGAGAAGGGAGAGCAGTGTGTCACCTGTCCTGCTGGAAGGAGGGACGAACCATCCAGGCAGAGAGGGGTGGGGAAGGGAGTGGAGACAGGAAAGGCCTCCTGGAGGAAGATTTGGGCTGGGACCTGAGGAATGTGCAGGAGCCCACCAAGTGGGCATCCTTTGTAGATTCACTTCCATCGGGCCTTTTCTCACCAACCAGGTGGGGGTTTTTGGGGGCAGGCCAGGGCCTCATCGACGAGGTAAAGTGAGCTGCTTCCCTGGCTGCCAATTTCCAGGAGGAAAACGAGACCCAGGCAGGGGCAGCGGTGGCCCCATTCTCACCGGCAACGGTGACAGGACCCGGAGTGGCATCCAAGTCTCCAGTCTATCTTGCATCGCGCAACCCCTCCTTTCTTGGTTTGGAGCGCGGAAGGGGCTGATTCAAGAAGAGGCCTCCCAGGCTCGGCCGCGGTGCCCCGCGCAGCCCCCTGCAGTTCCCGGGGGGCTCGAGAGATGGCGACACAGAGCAGCGCTGCCCGGCGGGAGAGCGCGAGCCCCTCGGCGGCCTCACGGGTGGGGGAGGGGGGCGCGAGCTCCGACACTGACGTTGGGGGCGGGGCCGGCGGCCGTGACGCGCGGGGGCGGGGCTGCGCGCCTTCGTGGCCCGGCCGGCGATTCATTCAAAAGGCGCGCAGCCTGCGCGGCCGCCGGTGCGCTCGCCGGGCCGGGCTCGGGCGCCGCGTCGTTCCGGAGCTGGGCTGCTGGACCTGCCGCGGGGCGGCCAGGTAAGGAGGGCGCGCCGAGCCCCAGGCCGGGATCCGCTGCTCGCGGCCAGGCCCGGAGGGATGGGGCCCCGAGTGGCGCCCCCTGCCTCCCCGCGTCTCTGAGGAAGTCGGCCTGCGCGGCGGATGCCGCAGCCCCGGCCCCGCGCCCCCCCGCGCCCGCGTCCTGTCCGGCGCCGTCCGCGCCGCGGCCCCGCCCGTCCCGGAGCCCCCTGCCCCGGCCCCGCGCGTCCTCGGGCCGCGACTCCAGGCCGGGCCGCGCGCGGTGGGGAAGCAGCGGCGGGACTTGCCGGTGGAGGAGCCGGCGGGCCCAGGAGACGCCTCCGGCCCGGGAAACTTGGACCGAGACCATGACGGGGTGCGGGACCGGCCGGGGCGGGGGGGTCCTGAACGGTGACAGCCCGTGACTGTGGGTGACACGGCGCGTGAGGCGGCCCAGCCCGGGCGAACGTGGGGCCGGGACACTGGGTGGTGACGCCGGGCCGAGCGGGAGACACAGACGGGCTCTGTGTGTCTGTGACAGGCAGAGTGTGTGCGTGTGATTGTGTGTGAGAGAGAGACCCCGGGTCACTGCGGGTTGCGGTGACCCCAGCCCACTGTAAGAGGACCCGGGTCACTGGGGTCACTGAGTGTGTGTGACCAGAGCAGGGCCAGGGCCACTCGTTAATGTGAGTGTGAAACGGGAGAGGAACCCCAAGTTCCTCTGTGAAAACCAGCCCCTGAATCACTGGGGCCATCGTGTGTGTGGGGTCAAGTACCGTGTGTGCGTGCGTGCGTGCGTGTGCGTTTGTGTGTCTGCTCCTCAAGGCAATGAGTGAGAGATGGAAGGAGGGGGAACCTCAAACACCTGCCAGCAGATAAGGTGCGGGGCAGGGAAGGAGAGGGCCAGGGGATAGGGGTCTCTCCAAGACTGTCCCCAAGAAGGCCCCACTTAGGAGCTCAGTTTAGTGAGGGGGTGGACCTTGAGTGACTTGCCCTAGCAGAGGGACATGGGGGCCAAGGCTGGGTGGCATCTGATAGGTAGGGTGACACCTCTGGCAGCAGCTGAGGGGCCCTGAGGTAGCCTCAGGCTCCACCTCCCAAAAACACACACACACACTTTCTCTCTCTCTGAGGTCCAGATACCTGGCACATTTCTGCCCCCTGGTAACCTGTATTCTCACTGGGCCCAGGCACCATCTTGCTCTCAGACCTGCCCCCACTGGGCCTCAGTCTCCCCATCTGCACACTGAGGTGTTGGGCTGTGAACCGGACTGTGAATCATCACTTTGGGATCCTCTATTGTTTTTGGGTCAACGGCTTCTGTTCTCCCCTCCCTCCCTTCGGGCAGAAAGACTGCAGTGGGGGATGCAGGCAGACTGTCTGCTGGGGACACAGTGGCCCAGGGGCTGCACCCGGTGCTGGTGACAGCGTTGGAAGCACAGCTCCTTGCACCAAGCCCAAAATTCTGATCCATAGACACTGACTTCTCTGGCCCAGGTCTCCTTTCTTTAGTTCCTTGCATAGGGAGAGGGGGCATGGACCTGTTCCCCATGAGTGGGCTTTCATCTGGGAGGCTGAGTTCTTGCTGCTGGAGAGCTGGAGCAGGGCCCCTTCACCTCTGGGCTAGACCCCCTTGAGGCTCCCATGCCCACAGGAGGGTCTGTGGGATTCATGCAGGGTGGAATGGAAATCAGGCTCCCTAGCCCAGGAGGGGTGCAGGGGCACCTGCTGAAGGATCTGGAAGTTCTGTCCTCTGCTGTCATCCTCTGAAAATGTTGACTGCTTTCTAGTGCGGACGAGGGTCGGGGGACAGTGCCAGGCACTGTGCTGAACACTTTATGGAGTGCTCTTGTTGACTCCTCACAGTGGTTGAGATGTGGTGACTGTTTTTCAGAAGGAAACGGAGGCTCAGAGAAGCAAAGTGACTTGCTCAAGGTCACAAAGAGTCAGGACGGTGCCAGGACTGGCATTCAGGTCTTCTGCCCCTGAAGCTGTGAGACGGAGAGGGCCACCCACCTTCCCAATGTCTGCTTGAGGCTTCTCTGAGCTTGCGTCTCTCAAACCCGGGCTGGCAGGCATGGTCTGGCCAGCGTGCCATTGTGAGTTCTGAGTGTGGTGTGTGTTTGCACACGTCTGAAACATTGGGGGCAGGTGGGTGACACGGTCTTCCTGTTTCACCTCCTTGTCCTCCCTCCCCTCACTTCTCACCCCTAGCCAGAGGTCACCAGAAAGGCCTATCTCCTGCCTTGTAGAGCCTGTAGCTGGCCGTGGGAGCGTCCACATAGCTCTGAAGAGTGTCTGGAGTCTGCAGCACAGCCCAGGCTCCAAGGGTGGCGAGAATAAGTGAGAGTCCCAGTTGACCTTCACCATAGCTGAGGGGCCCTGTGCCCCCTCTTTGGAGTTGCTCTAGGGGCAATTTCCCAAATCCTGCCATGTGCTGTGGTGGGGAGCAGGCTGCGAGAGACCTTGAGCCTATGCCCCCCCCCTCAGGGACCTCAGTCTCCCCATTCTTCCCAGAGGCTCCTGCTAGCTCTGAGCACTGCTGCTGTTTGGACGAGAGCTGGAGCTAGGGACTGGGGTATCCCTCTGTCCTCTCTGGAATGACTGGAGCGATGCTCTTTGGGGCTGGTCAGAATAGCTGTCTTGGTCTCCTGGGGCTGAGCCTGAGTTATTTCCATCCCCAACAAAGAGGTGGAAATAGCTTAGGCCTGGGAGTGGGGGGAGAGGGGAAGGGTTACCCTCCTTTTCTGGTCCCAGCCCCAGTGGAGGACCCCCCAGCCCCACCCTGTGCTCTGCCCAAGCCAAACCTTTCTGGTAATGTAGGCCTCCTGGGATGGCAGGGATCACAGTGGGGCCAGGCTGGGTTCCACTTGTGACCTGTGTGATAGTTGCTGGAGGGAGGTGCCTGTGTCTGGCCAGGGAGGGGAGACTTTGAGGGGCAGTTAGCACCGGCCCCTGCTCATACGGTCAGCCCATTTTACAGAAGGAGAGACTGAGGTTCTGAGAAGTGCAGGGACTTACCCGAGGCCCCCAGAACTCTGATATTCTGGCTCTCAGCCTCCAGACAGGCTGGCACTTCTGTCCTGCCACACGTTCCCCAGAGGACTGGACGTGGCCCAGGACTGGAAGCAGGCCCGAGACACACCTTCACAAAATTAGGGCTGCCTCTTTTGTTCTGGCACTGGCCTTGCTGTCCTTGCCCAGACTCCTGTACTGGCCTCTCTGCCTCCGTTTGCAGTTTCTTCACACTCTGCCAGAGTGACCTCTCTAAGGTAACTTTTTGCCTACAGTGAATAGTCCAAACTCCTCATCCTAGCATTGAGGCCCTTATGAGCTTTACATCTTCATCCTCACCTCTCGCTCCCAGATGCCTGGTTCTACTTGGCCTTTGCTTTTGCTGTCCCCTCTTTCTAGAACCTTCCTGGCCATTCAGGATACAGCTCCAGTCACCCCTCTCCCAGGAATCCCTCCCCAGCCCAATGTGAGTCCCTCTTCATTGTTGTGGTCCACCTGCTGGGTGTCCCCCCTCACCTCTGGGAACAGGCGCAGGTATGGGGCACCCATGGGCCCTGCATGCCCAGCTGGGTGGGGCTGGCCTGGCCGGCAGCCTGCCCCCTCCCACTGCCATATCTGTGCTGGCCAGCCCTCTTCCCGAGGAAGGGCATCCACTGTAGGCTGAGGGCCTGCTGTGTGCTGGGATGCATAGGGAGGTTTGCACTCAGGGTCTCTGACGCTCCTGAATGTGTGCTGGGGGTTGGGGGTGAAGACTCAAGGCCACCCCGTGGGGAGGGGTGAGTTTGGTGCTGCCCTGGGCCCTCCTCAGGCAAGGCCCTCCTTCTGGGCCCGCAGAAGAAAGCGCTGAGGCTCTGCCATGTGCTAGTCCCTGGGCTCAGGTCTCCTCTCAGCCGCACTGACAGGGAATCCCCTTCCTTCCCGAGCTGCTCAATGGGGAGCCAAGACTCAGAGAGCAGAGGGGACGCATCCTAGTTTGAGTCACACAGCCACCTTCTGGCACTCAAGCTCTCTCCCAGCCCCCAACCCTGTCTCCAGGTAGAGGCAAGGGTCGTCTGACAATTCTGGCATCAGTTGCCAAGGACAGACCAGGCTGGCTACCTGCAGGGGGAGAAGGAAGTGCCGGTGGGGCTGTTCAGTGCCTTGCCTGGCTGGGCAAGGCCAGACTCCCTCCATTACGAGGCCACCCGGTCTGCCAGGTAGGCCAGAGCGGGAGGGGTTTTGCCTGAGAGCAGCCGGCAGGGCCACTCCGGCCCTGCTCCCACTCAGGATTAGAGGCTGGGATGTGGTCTCTGGCAAAGCTTAGTGCCCACTCTGTGCTGAGCCCCTGGGTGCCTGGGCCTAACTGGGGCCGGGGTGGCAGGGAAGACAGGAGGGAACCACTGCTGTGTCCCTACTGTGTGCCCAGCCCTGGGATTAGGACCCAAGGCTCTTACATCTTCAGCCTCATGTCCACAGGGTCTGCAGTCCCCTCCAGGTATAGGGAGGGAAAAGAGGTCCTAGAGAGGGGAAGGGACTTTCAAGACTCTAGTGTCACTGGGGTCCTAACCCAGGTCTGTCAGTCTGGAAGGCCAGAGCTCTTTCCTGGGCCACCCTGGGAAAGATGAGAGCTCTATAAATAAACAGCCCATGTGGCTGTGAGTGTGTGCCCTGGCTTTTTGGCACAGACAGAGAGGGATGGAGGGGCCTCTGCAGCCAACTAAAGGGAGTGTCTGAGTGTGTGTGTGGAGAGAGGAGGAGGCCCTAAGCTTGGACCTGCTCACCCTCACCATGAGAAGGGGCAGTCAGCACAGGGAGGGGCCTGGCCGTCCACAGTGTCTGGCCCTGCTGTGTGCCCAGCCTCCTGCATGCCACCGCCTGCCTCCCTCCTTCCCTCGAGGGAGACCACAAACAGTGATGGCTGAAGGGGCCCGGAGAGGGGAGGGTCCAACCTGACAGGGAGACTGGGAAGGCTTCCTGCAGGAGGCAGCGCCCGGGCTGTGGCCTGATTGTAAGAAGAGCCACTGTTCGCCTACGAACCCTGGATCCTCCAGCCTCACCAGGAGGTCAGCTGAACAGGCACAATTACCCCAATTATGGAGGAGGAAAGAGGCCCAGGGACGTGGGGCTGGGTCCTGACTGCTCAGCAGCCCTCTGTGTTCCTGACTGTGGCTTCAGCTGTTGTGGGAGTAGGTGGACACCGGCCTCTAAGGGGCTGGGAAATGGGCACCCAGAGTCCTCCCCGAGAGGCCAAGGCTCCTCCGCCCGTGCTGCTGGGACCGACATTGGGTTCCCCAAAGCACTGAACCACTAGGCGACCTTGGCTGGATGCTGCTCGATCTGAGGGCTCCTCCTCTGGGCCTTGTGGGCCGTGGTGGGAACTGTACTCAGGAGAGGACCCCCCAGCACCACTTACAGTGGCTCCGCTTCTCCCCTTCACATCCCCAGAGGCAGGGGCCAGAACCCCCGTTTTCAGAGGAGGACCCTGAAGCTCAGGGAGGGTGAGTAACTTGCCCACGGTCACAGAACCACTAAGTGGTGAGCCAGAGCTCAAACCTCGCCGTGACTACTCCGGAGCCCAGCCTCCCGCCTCTTGCTGACCCCAGTCCTCAAGCTCTGTTGGTTAGGGCCTGAGCTGAGATTTTTGGGGAATGGAGGTCTCTTTCCCCAGCACCCCAATTCTGTAGGAGTTGGAGAACGGAGCAGGCTGGGGCTGTGATCTCCTCTCATTCTCTCTCAAAGCTTCGCCCAAGTCGGCCACGTTGGGGTGATGGGGCAGGGCCTGTGCTGAGCAGACTCTGGGCCGCCCTGGCACATTAGTGATGGGGACCAGAGAGCAGCCCGGGCGGGAGGCATAGGTGGCTTCTTGGAGGAGGAGGCAGCAGTAGCATGAGCGGGGTGTGCAGTGGGCGTCCTCCAGCCTCCCTGCAGGAAGCCCGTGGTGCCCAGCGGTTGGGTGCTGGGCTGAGCAGAGCATGCAGGAGCAGTGGGGGTGCCAGGTTTGTGGTGGTGAGGGCAGGGGCTGCTGCCCCTACTCCGGCAGGGCAAACCTTGTCTCCTTTGAGACCACGTTGTTACAGGGTACTACTTAGCCTCTTTGTGCCTCAGCTTCCTCATCCGTGATGCCTGGAGGCCTGTCTTTGAGGCCAGCGGAGGGAGTGAGGCACGCAGTAAATGGTTAGTGAGGGGGTGTTGGGGAGCCCCAGCTCTGCCCCAGAGACGACTGTCTGGTTTGGGCACCCCCTCCGCAGCCCCAGACTCAGCCCAGGGAAGAGGCAGGGATTGTACCACACCCAGACGGCGAGGAGTTGGGTGGGCCTCGTCTGGCCACCTCAGCCCTTTTCTTAGCCTCAAGGGCCAATTAGCCCCCTCAGCCCCACCTGCCCACCTCACCCCCTGAACCTCTGAAGCCCAGGCCCTGTGGCAGCAGGAGGTCTGAGGGGCAGAACTGTGCCCGGCCCCTGGGGATGGGCCAGGGAGCAGCCGCTGCCTGGTGGGCTACCATGTAGGATTAGGGGTCTGCACGTGTGGAGTCCTCACCCCAGGCTTGTGACCTGGGAGACCGTGGCTGCCCAAGGCTGGGGTGGGGGTAGGAATGGGGGCGCTCTTCTCTCCGAGTGGCCCTGAGGCAGCCTCTGCATATCTCTGGGCCCCCAGTCAGCAGCCCTAGGGAGCTGGGCTCCACCCTGGGATCTCCTCTTCTTCCCCTGGGAATTCCCAGCCTTCCCCAGGCTTCTGCTTCTCGCAGGTCCCAGTGCCTTTTCCCGCCAGAGCTGGCACAGACTAGGGCATGTGCTGTGTGATAGCCCCTTGGCTGAACCATGTACTGTGTGCCGCTCGCTGCCCAGCCTCTTCCATTAGGTTGGCAAACACTGGGAGAACATCTGCTCTATGCCAGGCCTCGGGCTGGGCTCCAGGGTAGGCGGGCCCAGAAGTGAGATGGGAAGCAGAGTCAGACAGATCTGGGCTTCATCCCTGCTTCACCACTTACTGGCTGTGTGACCCCTGTGGCCTCAGTTTACCCGGGTGTGAAACAGATACTCACCTCTCCTGTGAGGAGTGGAGGCAACCCAGGCGGAGGGCCTGGCCCAAGGGAAGGAGGGCAGAGGAGGGAAGGGAGGCAGTGCCTGGCTGCCCTCCCTGCCGCCCACTGTGGGCACTGCCCTACTTCAGCCCCAGTTGCCAGGGAACCACTGGGTTCCTCACTAACCTGGATTTCTCTATTGACTGGTGGCCTTTGTCTTCCTGTCTCGGGTGCGGCCACCGCCGAGGGAGGCCTGTGTCCAGCTGTGTTTCCAGGCAACCCGGCCTCTGGAGGCTGCAGGGAGGTCCACAGGCCCTAGAGCCTCTGGCTGGGGAGACAGAAGTACCTGCCTCCCACCTCTGCCCCAGTCCCACCTCACCTGGCCGGCAGCCTGGCAAGCCCTCTGAGACACAAATTGTTCCATCCTCTCCCTCCCCTGCTAACCCTTCAGGGCTCCTGCAGGCCCTGGGGGCAGTGCCAGCTTCTCAGCTGGCAGTCGAGGCTTGGCGTGACCTGGCCTTTGTCCACCAACCTTCCCAGACCCCTCTCCCTTCCTGCACGCTCCCGCCTCCCAGATTCTTACCGTGGCCAATCGGGCACCTCCTGGGTACCAGGCTCTGTGCCAGACATTGTAAATAAACAAAAGAGAATCGTATTTTACCTCACACCTGCCTTTCAAGTGTGTCATCCCCCTCCACAGTTTATACATGCGGAAACTGAGGCACAGTGAATACTTAACTGAGGGCTTATTCTGTGCCAGGCCCTGTGCTGAGTATTTAACGTGTATTCCCTCCTCTTACTCTCACAACAGCCCCCTCTGTAGGGGGGTCCACAGCCACAGAGCCGGTGAAGAGCAGAGCAGGCTGGTTCTCCCCAGGAAGCCCAGGGCGAATCCCCTGCCTAACACCCCCCCCGCCCCCCCCAGGCTCCTTAACCATCAGCCTGCTGTCAGGCCCTCTCAACCTTGGCAAAAGCCGGACCCTCTCCTGAGAGTGCCTTTTTTGATCCCTGCCCTCCTCCGCACCGTTCAGCACATACCTACCCACATCCAGAGGCAGCACATGGGGAAGGGGCTGGGTAGACAGGATGGTCATGTGCCATTAATGCAGAAGGGGAGGTGGTGGTTAGGGGCTTCCAGGAGGCAATGACTTTGATCTGAGCTCTGAAGGAAGAGGAGGTGTTGGCAGGTGATGGCAGGGGTTTCTGGGCAAAGGAGCAGCAGGTACCAGTGCACGGATGAGAGAGGCAAGTGTAGGGGATCAAAAGAAGCTCAGAGTGGCTGGAGTTTGGGGTGGCAGGGGCCAGATCTCGGCGTCAAGACACCTGGGCTGCAGGTGGAGCTGAACTGGAGGCCAGGGGGCAGGGGGTAGGCATGGGGCTCTGCAAGACCTTTGGGATTCAATGGAGCTTCAGTGGCCACCACACAGGCCAGAGTGAGGCTGGAGAGTGAGTGCGGGCAGGGGAGGGCCCAGGCTGGGCCCGGGTGACCCCGCTGAGCTTCAGTTCTGGGAAAGGGGAAGCTGCTGAGCCCGGGCCACAGCTTCCTCTTTGTCTGAGGCCTCTAGGGCTGCACCTCCCCAGGGCTCCACTGCCTCCAGCTTGGGGCCCTGGTCATGGCTTGGCTAGTTGGCTTTCTTCCAGGGAATTTCTGTTCTGATTGTTTGGGCATTTTTTGGAGGGTGGGAGTGGGCTGTAAGGAAGCCTCCCCCCGCTCTCCCATCCCGCCATGAGCCTCCTGTTCCAGACACTGGCGGGGGCGGGTTTGTGGTGAATGAGACAGACATCCCTGCCTTCGCTGCTGTCTGGTTGGGGGGCAACGAGTACACAAGTAAGCAAACACTTAATTATAAAGCTGGGCGCGGGGGGCGGAGGGAAAGAAGGGGTGATGGGGAAGAAGTCCCACGACCTGCTTTTGGCTCGTTGCCTCATTTAAACCTCCCAACAACCTTGCCTTGGGAGGGAAACATCCCCATCTTGCAGGTGAGGTAACTGAGACCCGGCCAGGTGAAGCAGGGGCTCAGGGCCCACAGGGAGTGGTGTCAATGGGGCCTGGCCCCAGGCTGGGAGACTTCGGGAAGCAGTGGCCTCTAAGCTAACTTCCTTCTCTGCCTGGGCCCTGTGGGGTGGTTCTCCTCTGCCAGGAGCACCGGGGCGGGAGAGGAGGCTCCTGGCTGTGGGCTGAGGATGCTACCCTCCTCCAGGCCTTAGTCTGCCCATCTTTGACAGCCCTCCCTCCTCCAGGAAGCCCTCCGGGAGGTTCTGGGCTGTGGAAGGTCACTGACTGCCCGGCCTTCAGGACAAGGCAGAGGGGTAGGGATGGGGCCTTCACAGATCCCCAGCCAGCCAAGGGGCTTCGAGCTGAGCTTGCTTTTCCATCAGGGTTCTGGGGCTCAGGGCTTAGATGCTGGAGGCCTGGTGGGGAAGGGGGTTCAGGGGCGGGGGTTCACAGCAGCAGTTGTGTCCACGTGTGTGTGCAGGGTTCTGGGCGGCTGGCCATTGGCTGCCTGACCGGGCAGGTCTGTCGGGGGCTCAGTCGGGCCTGGGGAAGCAGCTGTAAGCAGAGACTCGGGCGGCCAGACTGGGGTAAGTGCCGGTTTGGGGTAATTAGAAGGCACATAATTAGAAGGCGTCAGGGCGCTTGGCGGCAGTGTCTGTGAATGGGCCTGAGTGGGCCCTCATTGGCTTCGGGTCGGGCCTTTGGACCCCCATTTTCTCCCTGGAAGTCTCGAGATCACAGCTCGCGTCTGTCTGGAGGTGAGCATCTGCACAGCCCCTCCCTGTGGGCTCAGGTCACCCAGCAGGTGCTGGGCAGGGCCGGGGTGGGACTCGGCCCATCCCCTCTGTGGCTGTAGTTAGCCCCGCCCCAGCCCTCTGGGCCCACCCCAGGGACATGGAGGGGTGCTGCGTCTGGGGACTGGGCAGGGCTGCGGGGCCAGCCTGAGGCCTTGGGGCTCATGGTCAAGTCTAGGGGTGAGATCCTGTGAAGAACGGGGGAGGGAGCATGGGGAGGTGGACTTGAGTGGGAGCTGGGCCTGGGCAGGGGGAAGGGACACTTTGGGGTAGGAATGAGAAAAGAAGACTTGTGACCAAGTTAGAAGAGGGACAGGTAGGGGTGTGGATCAGAGGATGCCATCTGTTGGGTGCTGACGGCCAGGGTGTGACCTTCACTCTACTCTGTGGCCCGAACTTCTCCTGTCCCAGGTTTTCCCCTGAGCTGGCCTTGGGCCAAGAGCTGCTGCCAATGACCTGGAGAGTCCCGAGGATGGTGTGACCACTGCCCCTCCCCTCCCCTGTGGTGTAATTCAAACCCCTGGCCCGCCAAGGTCTGTGCCAGGCCAGGCCGCCTAGTGCGGGCGGATCGGTTTCCTCGGGCTTCTTTTCCAGGTGGGAAGTCTGGGCCACCTGTAGGCTGAGGGGCTCTCGTGTGACCTGGGGTTTCTGGGGCAGCGCTTCTCCTCCCAGGCTTGGCATCAGACAACTCGGGGCTCCAGGCAGGGTCCCCTCAACCTGCTGGGGCCCTGGGCCATGGCTTGGCTCTCTGAGGCCACCCCTCAGGAGTCTGTGGCTGAGGCCCGACAAACATGGCTTCCCTCACCCTCGGGAGCCTGAAGCCGGGCCTCCTGGAAGCACGCATCGAACTCCCTCGGTTGGCCTCAGTCCCTTTTGTTGTCTGATTCAAATCCCTCCTGCTGTTCCAAACTTGTCTACTGGCTGGAGACTTTTCTCCAGAGGAGGCCCCACTTTGAGCCTGGGGCTCAGCCTCGGGCCAGTGCCCATCACTCTCTGCCCTCACCCTGCCTTCTTTTGATTCTTGGCACTTCCCACTGTCTGTGGGGGGACACTCACTGTTCATCTGTTGGCCATTGGTCTCCCCTAGGGTGTGAGCTCCCCAAGGACAGGGACAGTGTGTGTCTTGTTCATACTATTTCCTGTGCTGAGGGCAGTGCCCAGCACACAGTAGGTGCCCGAAAGAGGATGGAAGGCTGAGTGCTGGCTGCCACGACTCCCCCTACCCCTTGGCCCCGGGTCTGCTCATGGCCCGAGAGATGCAGTCAGCAACATGCCAGCCCTCTGTGGAGAAGTTGGCCCAGCATGGACAGTGGGACACATGGGAGGACCAGGACTGTCATGGGGTGGGGGTGGGGGAACACGTGGGAGGACCAGGACTGTCATGAGGTGGGGGTGGGGAGACACGCAGGAGCTTTCGGGGCCAGACTCAGCTTTGGAGGAAGGGAAGTCTAGAGAAGATTCCAGAAAGAGAGGCTTTTGTGTTGGACTTTGAAGGGTAAGGGAAAGGGCCTTCCTTGGAGCAGACATAGCAAGAGTGAAGGCAGAGAAGCAGAGGCCCGGCATGCTCCTGGGCCTGCAGGGAGTTCTGAGTGGCCGGAGCCTGAGAGCTGGTGAGGCCGGGTGTGGGGAGACTGCCAGCCCTCTCACTGCCCCACCCCCAGGGCTGCAGCTTGGGATTTTCTGCCTCCCAGCCTCCCCTGCCCACGCCCCAGGGCACTTTGCTGTTTCTGGAAGGAAAAGGAAGCCTTTTGTCCTCCAGGAAGGCCCCCAAGCCTGGCAGGGCCCTCTGCCCCAATCCAGCTTGTGCTGCCCTGGAAGGCTGGTCCCAGACAGGACACCCCCTTGCAGGCTGTTGGGGTGGGGGCAGTGAGGGTAGGCCAGGCCGCCCCACACTCTGTCCAGCAACACCTGTGAATTCCCTGTCCCGTCCTGTCCTGGAAGCAGTGCTGGGCGGGCAGCAGTGCCTGCCTGTTCCCGCTACCCGCTGAGCCTGCCCTCCATCTGCCCCAGGCTGGGGACCCCCCGGGGCCTGAGGATGAAGCTGAGCCCGCTGCACTGGCCGCTGTCCTGCCTCCTGGTGGTGAGTTGGGGATGGGATGGTGGGGAAGCCAGAAGAGCCGAGTCCTGAGCCCTGCACCCCAGCCCTTGAGGGGTGGAGTGCAGATGTTGCTCAGGAACTCCAGGCCAGGACAGGGTGCTGGGGTTGGTCACTTAGCTCTTCTTTTGAAGAACCCAGGCCGTCTGACCCCAGGAAGCACCTCCTGGCCTCTGCCTCTCCTGGTGCGGGAGGCCTCTCAGCCCTTGGCAGGTGCTGGGAGCCAGGTCCAGGGCCTAAAGAGGTCCCTAGCCTCCTGTGTGACATTTCGTCTGCCCTCCAGGGCAGCTGGCTCTACTCTGCCTGCTATCCCCAAGAAGGAGCCAAATCAGAGGACCAGGGTGTGGGCGGAGGGGTCTCCCCACAGCAGGAGAGATTATGGGCAGGCAACTGTACCTGGAATGGGAAGCAGAGGGAGCTCCCGGTGGAACAGGCTGTGGGACATGAATTGAGAAGATGCTTCCCTTGGGATGTGTCATGCCCTGTGTGAGTGTGAGGGGTGTGAGGAGGCTGGCCTTGTGTCAAGGGGTGGGTCACGGAGGAGGATGTGGTCCCAGAGACTCAGCTGAGGGCCCAGAATAGGAAGCACCAGCTGCAGACGTGGCCCCAGGGATGATGAACCGAGGCTGGTTACTGGCATGCCCAGCTGTGGTGGGGGCCAAGGCAGCAGGAAGGGGGGCGGAACTTGAGAGAGGAATTCGGAAGCATTTCCTCCTCACCATCCTGGTTAGCTAGAAGGGGTGTGACTCAGAGACCTAAGGGCTTGAGATCCTGATCTGGCCTGTCTGGGGCTTTCCAGCATTTTCTAGAAGTAGATGTGGTCTCTCCCTACCTAGGCAGTGGTGGTGCAGCAGGTCTGGGACAGGCAGGTTCTCCTTGCAGCATGAGGGATAGAGCTTAGAGAGTCTCCCTGAAGCCTGGGGGTGGCTCTGTGCAGTCAGCAGTCCCCGCCCATGGGGCATCACAAAGTTGGTGGTGGATAGATGGCCTCAAAGATGCCACGTCCAGTGCTTTCTGCTCTCTCAGTGTGTCCTGCCTGCTGTTCTTTCAGCTGCTGCCCTGGCCTCTGGCCACTCCAACATCAGTGACCCCTTGGCAGTGCCCGCCCGGGGAGGAGCCCAACCTGGTGAGCTTGGCTTGCCCGTCTGCCCTGCCCTGGGAAGACTGTTGAGGGCCCGGGGTGGAGTCCCCAGGCCTGGCTTCCCAGGGGCCTCAGGCCTGGCTGCTGGCTTTGTTCTCACCCCTTCCCTCCCACAGGACCTGGAGCAGGGCACACTATGCAGGTCCTGTCCCCTGGGCACCTTCTCAGCCTCGTGGGGCTCTAGCCCATGCCAGCCCCACTCCCACTGCAGCCCTCGAGGGAGGCTGGAGGCCCAGGCAGGCACGGCGACTCGAGACACACTATGTGGAGACTGCCAGCCTGGGTGAGCCACGGGGTGGGGCATGGGGGCTCATGGCAGGGTGACCAGGACTTTGGATCCTGGGGTCCAAGCCTCACCCACCCCTCAGATGACCCCTGAGATGGGCCTCAGTCTTCCCATCTGCGAAATGGAATGGGTCGGGACCAGTGAGGGTGCCCGGTAGGAAGGAGTCCAGCCTCCCTTAAGGATAGTTTTGGGGCCTCATGACGTCTTCCCTCCCTGTAGGTGGTTCGCCCCCTCAGAGGTGCCCCGCGTTCCCTGTCAGCCGTGCTCTTGGACACCCCTGGGTACTCACAGCTGTCATGGTGAGTGGCAGATGGGGCTAGGACTGGTTGGGGGGTGTGTGGGAGGGGCTCTGGCAAGCTTGAGCCCAGGGGCCCCTGCAGTGTCCATCCAGGAGAGTGGGGTCCTCATTCCCTCAGCCCGGGGCGGGGGCATGCAGCCAGAGTGTGTCCAGCAGGATGTGGTCAGTTGCTCCTCTGGCTGTGTCTGCCCATCTCACTTCTGAGTGGCAGAGACCATCCAGCAGTGGCAGCCACAGCTGGGGGCCTGGGAGCCTCACATCCTGACCAGTCTCCTGTCCTCACCCCCTCTAAGAGACCCATCAGATGAGTGTGAGCACACGCTCGCACATTCACACACACGCTCCTCTCACCTGTAGAGTCAGTCACCTTCTGAGGCAACTACCCCCGGGACCAGGTCCTGGGGAGGCAGGACCCAGTGTCCCCGTGCCCAGGCACGTGCACAGGTGCCATCTGTTCACCCCTCTGACCCAGCAGGCGGGGTGGACAAGGGCTGAGAGTCCTGAGGTCTGAGGACCGAGATCTGAGGATGTCTTGCTCAGGCTGACTGACCAGATGGCCACACAGGAGGAGGGGCTGGCTTTTGCTTCCCCAACATGGTGGGGAGTGGGCAGCTCTGGCCATGTCAGTACCCCCTACACACACACACACACCCCCGCCCTGACTCGGGCCCTGGGTCTTTCTGCCTCTGTCTTTCCTCCATGCTTCCATCCTCCGTGGTGCTCAGAGCGGAGGCAGCGGGCCCGACGTGGCGTGGAGATGGCAGCAGGGGCTGGCGGCACTGGGGAGAGGCGGCAGCCAGACAACAGCACACGCGCAGGCAGCCCTGAGGAGACGGCTGCCCAGTACGCGGTTATTGCCATCGTACCTGTCTTCTGTCTCATGGGGCTGCTGGGCATCCTGGTGTGTAACCTGCTCAAGCGGAAGGGCTACCACTGCACAGCCCACAAGGAGGTCGGGCCTGGCTCTGGAGGTGGAGGCAGCGGTGAGGCCTGGGTCTGGGTGGGGAGGCCAGAAGGCACGGGCTGCCCAGCCCAGCTCAGCCTGGGGGCTGCCTGAGGGAACCAACTTGGCCTGAAGGGTCTGACAGGGAAAGGCCTGCAGAGGACTAATCAGGAGGTCTTCCTGGAGGTGCTACACGTGGGCTGCAGAGGAGACACTGCAGACTGACAAAGTGGAAGGAAGGGAGAGGTGGCCCAAGGTGGCGACGGGGGCAGAGCAGGGGTCAAGTGGCTTCAGCAGGATTCCCACCCACAGTTCAGACCCCTCAGGGGCTAAGCTTGGTGTGTGGTTCAAGGGTTGGACTGCCTTCTCAGTACTCAAGGTGACCTCTGACCTCTGGCCTGAAGGGCTGGCAGGGCAGCTGTTCTGGGCAGGCACCACAAGAGGCTCAGGTTTCGGCTCCAGGCTGTGGTTTGAGTTACGAGTCCTGGAACCAGAGGGAGAGACAGGTTCCTCCCACCCCTACCCTAGGGCCCTGAGCCCCTTTCTTCTCCCCCTCACACTGTGCCCCTAAGGCCAGGAGGGCAGGCGCCCCACATGCTCACACACTGCTCACAGAGCCTGTGGCCAAGTCAAGATGGAAATGGCGCCTCCCTTGCCAGCGTCCCAGCTGCCTGGGGCTGGCCAGAGCCCTTCCCAACTCCTGACACTGCAGTCTGGACGGGCAGGAAGGGGACAGCTTTGGGCAGGCAGGAAAGTGGCAGCTTAGGCCATTTCACCTCAGGTCACACTTGTCTTCTTAGCCTAGGACTTCCTTTACCTGCTGGCTGCTGCCTGGGCACAAGTCCTAGGAGCTGTTTGCTGCCGGCCCAGCACTGATCATCACACGGCCCATTCTCAAGCCCTTCAGGTCTGGGCCCTAAGCTGACCAAGGGCCCTCAGTTAGTTACATAGACAGGGCGGTGTGCAGGGAGGTGATAAGCCTGGAATGGCAGAATTTGCTGGAGTTGTTGGGGGTTCTGGGCAGAGGCAGCCCATGGATCCCTGAGGCTGAGGAGTGGAGGGGGCAGGCCCCAGAAGAGGCTGACCCCCATCCCACACATTCACTCTGCAGGGACTGGAGTTCAGGTGGCCCTGAAACTGCTAGGACCTGGGGTTGTTGGTTTCCTGAGGGAGCAGTGACACTGAGTAGTGAGGGTGACACTGGGCTTCTCAGAATCAGAGCTGAGGCCTGGAGTGTCGCAGGTGCATAAACACTGAGGCTTGTAGCCCAACTCTTAGGAAAGCCTGAGGTGCCCTCTGCCGCCATATCCTGGGGTAGCTCAAGAGTGTAGCTCCCCCACTTTCCCAGGATCATGGTCCTTTTCTCTTCGCCAGGGATCAACCCTGCCTACCGGGCTGAGGACGCTAATGAGGACACCATCGGGGTCCTGGTGCGCCTGATCACAGAGAAGAAAGGTGAGGGGAAGGTCTGACCCCATCCCTGTTCCCAGGAGAGGAGGATCTCCCAGAACCTGTGAGGCAGCTGCAGGGGTCAGAGTCCCGCCCTGCTCTGCCCCTCCTGCTGGGACACCGCTGGCCAGCCTGGCCCTCTCTGACCAGTGTGGCTGCTGCTGCTGCCCTTTCCCCCTGTTCTTGCCTGATGAGGGGTGGAGGAAAAGGCACATGGCCAGGCTGGGGAGGGGATGGTGGGTAGGTAGGGGGATTTGTGCTGGGCGGGGTGTCGGGGCGGTGCCCCTCACGGCCCAGGGCCGGGTTCTGACTACAGCTGCCCACAGAGAACGCGGCGGCCCTGGAGGAGCTCCTGAAGGAGTATCACAACAAACAGCTGGTGCAGACCAGCCACAGGCCTGTGCCCAGGTGAGTGGGCAGGTGGACAAGGAGGGCCCTAAACCATGGGTAATCAGCTTGCCTCCCAGTGGGACTCACCACTTGGGTATGTTTCCTCTCCCATCACCCGGATTCCCCTTCACCACCTCCTGGGGTCTCTTGGCCCTGGGCCTGGCCTGCCCTAGTGACCACTCCCACCTGTCCCCTTTGCAGGCTGCCACCGGGCCGCCCCAACATGCCGCACATCTGCCCGCATCGCCACCACCTCCACACCGTGCAGGGCCTGGCCTCAATCTCTGGCCCCTGCTGCTCCCGTTGTAGCCAGAAGAAGTGGCCTGAGGTGCTCCTGTCCCCTGAGGCCGCAGCTGCCACCACTCCCACTCCCAAACTCCTGCCCAACCCAGCCAGGACCCCCAAGGCTGGGGCCAAGGCAGGACGCCAGGGCGAGATCACCATCTTGTCTGTGGGCAGGTGAGGTGGGCAGAGACACAGCAGGGTCAGGGAGAGACATGACAGCCAGGGGAAGGCAAGGCCCTCGGGTGAGCCCTGAACACCCTGTTCAGTGATGACCCCACCCTTTCCAGCCTCTGTGGGAGTGGCCAGGGAGAAGTCAGGTCTTCCCAGCTATGCTGTGTTGCACTTAAGCCTGGGCCCCCCGGGCAGGGTCCTGGCCCCCATCATACCTGGGGCTCCTCAGGCCAAAGGCCTGTCCACTTGCAACCTAGGATTGGGGGGTGTTGGGGGCTCATCTGTGGGTGGGAGGGTGTGGGAAGGGCTCAGGCTCTGATCCATGAACTTGCTGAGTGATCCTGGCAGGTGCTGTCTTCTCTACTCCTGGGGTTCCCCCTCTAATGGGGGGTTGATTGCACCACCTCTTCTCCCAGGTTCCGTGTGGCCCGAATTCCTGAGCAGCGGACAAGTTCAGCAGCCTCTGAGGTGAAGACCATCACGGAGGCTGGGCCATCAGGGGGTGATCTCCCCAACTCCCCGCAGCCTGGCCTCCCCACTGAGCAGCGAGCATTGCTGGGAAGTGGTGGAAGCCACACTAAGTGGCTGAAGTCCCCAGCAGAGAACAAGGCTGAGGTGAGGCCCAGAAGGGGAAGGTGTCTGTTCGTACCTGGGCCAACCCTCACTGTATGGGGCAGAGGTAGAGGTTCAGGGGTCCCTGGGCCACTTTCTTGGAGCCCAGAAGCCCCGACTCAGCTCCAACCCCTCACCCCTGTCCCCCAGGAGAACCGCTATGTGGTCCGGCTAAGTGAGAGCAACCTGGTCATCTGAGGGGCTGTCTCATCTGAGGACACTGCAGCCCTGCCCTGGGAGGTTCCGAAGGCTTCCTGGAGGAGGTGGAGCTGCAGCTGGGCCTGTTAGGATCAAGCAGCTATGGCCCAGCCGACGAAACAGCAAAGGCCAAGGCCTGGAGGTGGGAATGTCCGCCCCAGTGAGGAGGCAGGCCGGCCAGTGAGTGCTGTGTGCAGGAGCAGGTTGAGAGCCCGTCCCCTTTCCCTGCCACCCAGTTCCTTCCCTGCAGGATGCCCCTGACCCTGTACCCTGCCCTAGCCAGATCCTAGGAGCTCACGGTATCCTCTGTACCACCAGGGGGCTAGGCCTTAGCGATGGGGAGGGGCACCCTGCCTGGCCCGCCTGGCCCCAAGCCTTGGTAATTAGTGGTCCCCTGCCTCTGTACAGGGCCCTAGAGCACATGTACCTCCCCCTCCTCTTCCAGCAGGTCCTGTACAGGGAAGGGGCAACAAAAAGCCATGGGCTGGGAGGCTGAGTTCCTGGGTTCTAATCCTGGGCAAGTCCCTGGTTATCACTGGGTCCCAATTTTTCTGTGAAGTGGGGAGAGAACGACATCTCAGTGCCAGGGCTCCTTGGGTCCCTTGCAGTCTCTGGGCTGGGTTGTGTGTGGGGAGGGCTTGCCTCCTTGCCACCACTCCCATTAGTAGCTTTATCTGGCTCATTTTTGCTGCTTCCAGGGCCTCCACCTCCAAGGCCCCTATGGGGCTGCCTATCCACGGCTCTGTCTACAGAAGTGGCTTAATGCATGTGCCTGCCCCCGACCCTGCTGTTTTTATTGAAATTGAAAAAACAGACTTGACCTGGGCAGGGCTGTGGGACAGAGCCCCAGCCTGCCCAGCCACCCCCAGGATCTGAGGAGCCTTGGGGGAGAGGGGTGTGTGATGGAGCTGGAGAGGCACCTCTGGCCTCGGTGGTTTTTGTGTCCCTGTGGTGTTGGTGCGTCTGTCTCCCAGCCTGGGCAGTGCAGGCAACTGCCCAGCCCCCATCTCCACTCAGCAACCTGGTTATTTATGTGGGGCCGTGCAGGCACGGGCCCCACTGCCATCCCCATTTTATTTATTGGAACTTTGCTGTTGTCCTATCCTTGCGTCTCTATCCCCATCCAGTTGTTGAATAATAAAAGGTGGGAAAGTGGTGTCATGAGGAGCTTCTTTTCCCTGTGCCTCTTCCCAGGTCATCTCTCCATTTGCCAAATAGGTCTTAGCTCTGTGTCGGGCACCATATGTGGGACGGGCCATCCCTCCCCTTGCAGTACCTGCTCTTGGGCAGGTGAGCACCGGGCAGCAAGTGAAATGGGGCCGAAAGAGGCTGTACCTCATCTGGTTCTCACTGAGGCCCCTAGAGGCAGTGCTGTGCAACGGAAATAGAGTATGCGCCACGTAATTTAAAATTTTCTAATAGCCACATTTAAAAAAGAGAAACAGGTGGACTTAATTTTAACCCAGCATATCTAAAATATTTTCATTTCAACATAAAATCAGTGTAAAAATTATGAATGAGCCATTCATTTTTTGCTATGAAGCCTGGTGTGCATTTTACACTTAAAGCACATCTTAATATGAGTTAGCATATTTCAAGGGCTCAATAGCCCCATGTGGCTAGTGGCTCCTGTATTGGACAGCACAGCTCTAAAGGAAGTGGAAGATGGAAGGGGTAGGTAAGACATTTTGGGGCTGGAGAAGGTGGGAAGGGGAAATGTGCTCCACAGAGGGAACAGCATGTGCAAAGGCCAGACATCAACCAAACTATGAGGAGCTGGAGAAGCTGGAACTAGAGGGTGACTGAGGTGTGGAGACTGGGGAGAGGGTAGGCAGCAGAAGGCAGCCACATGGGCCCTCGGAAGCCATGTCATATGCCAAGGAGCCTCTAAAGCATTTGGGGAGGGGAAAAGCATGATTGGTCAGCTTGCTCTTGGCCACAGTATGGGGAGTGGAGGAGCTGTGGGAGCAGAGGTTCCACAAGGAAGCTGATGCAGCCATCCAGGCAAAAGATGGTGGAGGCTAGGCTACATGGGTGTGGTGGAGAGAAACAGGGACCCAAGAGATTCCTAGGACAGAACCACTAGGGTTTGGTAATGGGATGTGGGTCAAGGGATTAGGGACAGCTGGGCCAGTAGGGTGGGTAAATAGGAGGAGCAGTCCTGAGGGTACCCGTGATACAGCCCCATGGGATGTCCTAAGGTGTCTTGATGTGAAGGCCTGGAGCACTCAAGAAACAGACCTGGGCTATGGGACTATCTAGAAGTACTCAGGTGGGCCTTTGCACCAGGACTGGACTGGAGGGAACATGTTTCAGGGACAGGGCTCAGGGCAGACCCCTGGGCTACTCCAGGGGCACTGCCAAGGAGGTGGGAAGGAAACCAAGACAGCACAGTGTCCGGGAAGCCACGGAAGGACGAGTGTGTGGGGAGCAGTGTGGGTCACAAAGCCAGGCATTGCTGCAGGGTCAGAACTGGAGCATCCCCTGCTTAGTGGACACAGGGACGTGGGAGGTGCAGGACCAGGATTGAGCTCCCTGTGGAAGCCAGACTGTGCCAGGTGACAGCTGGTGGGGCCTTACACTCCAGGGAGAGAGAGTTTTTAGTTAATTCCAGGTTCTGTTTGTGTTTGGTATTTTTTTTAAGATGGAATGGGGGTGAGGCGGGAGACACTTAAACACGAATGGGAAAGAAGCCCAAGGAGAGGCTGAAGAACCAGAAAATGACGCTTGATGGAACCTGGGGAGGTGTGGAAAGCGACAGCCTGTGGGAGTCCCAGGCTTGCTGCAGCTGGGAGAGGGTGGCAGTCATGATGGGACAGCAGGAGGCCCAGCTTCACGGAAGCCATGGTAGGGCCTGGCCGAGTAGCTGCAGAGAAAACACCTGCCCTGAGAGGAAGCTGAGCAGACGTGCCTTGACATTCAACCTCTCCCTGCCTGTCACCTTTCTAGGGTACAAGCTTCTCTCTCGGTGGCTTCTCAGGTGAGCAGGAGAGGGAGGGTACCTCTGAGGACCCAGGAGACAAACCTTCACCTGCTCCAGGAGAGGGGAAGGAAGGACACAGAAGCTGGGCATTAGGAAGAGTTTTCTGGAACACCAAAGGTTGCCAAAGTCTAGAACAAGGTGTCTGTTGTAGGGGACTAGGGGGCATCACCAGTGCACCCAAGGATGTCCTCCCTGGGGCTGCCAGGGTGCACTAGTGTCCCTATTTGCTGGCTGTTCAGTTGCATCTGAGAGTTTGCCTTTTCAAACTTGGCTGTCCTCAGCCATCCACTTGGATGACACAACGGGATGAGGAGACAGTGCCCAGGTGGGTGGGGTGGGAGCCTGAGCCCCTCCCATTCTGGCCTCCTTTCCCAGGGAAGGGTGGACTGTGGTCTCCAGATGCTCTCATCTGGGGTGAGGCACATACAGATGCCAGCCAGGGTGGTGACCGAGGCTGGGTCTGGGCTTCCCAGGCTGGGTAAGGGGCATCCCCATCTCCGTGCTGGGCCCTGGGGTAATAAGTACTGCCCCTCCTCCCTGCTCCTGCCCCATTTCCTGCTTGCTGGAAGGTAAGAGAAAGGTAAGGCTCTGGCCTCAGTTGCTTCACCTGTCCCTTGGGGATGTTGAGGCCAGTTCCCAAAAGTGTGGGATGAGGAGCTGAGGGATCATGCAGGGGTGCGTCTGATGCCCTTGGCTTTCAAGGCCCCCACCTTCACCTAGAAGCTTCCGTGGCTTGTCCCAGGCTTGCCCGCTCTAAATGCTGGCAGTCTTGTCAGCTCGTGAGTTCAGGGTGGGCCCAGCTGCTGGCAGGGGTGGGAGCTGGAAGACAGGGTGGGGCCCTGGGCTGACACCCGAGGAGAATTCTGAGCTTGACCTCTCCTCACTCCACCCACAGCCCCTCCCCCACAGGCCAGAATGGTGGGTGCTGGGGCTCAGGTCTGTTGCCTCCCTGCCTGCTCCTGGTCCTTTGCCCTGCCACTGTGACCTGGAGCTGAGTCCTGGGGAAAATCCCTTTCCTGTCCTGAAGACACTGCTGTGACACAGCCCAGCAGTCCCTGTGGCCAGAGGTGCCTTCCCCTCCCACACCTGACAGCTTCCCACTGCACCACAGAACGAGATCCATGTTAGGTGAGGACGGCAGGGAGAACTGAGGAGGGTGCTAGGGGGGCACAGGGTGCAGTGTGGTGAAAAGGGCTGGGGAGTTAGGAGTCCTGGGTTTTAATTACAGCTCTAGGTGAGCCGGGTCACTGAGGTGGGCCTCAGTTTTCTCTCCAGTGGAGGAGATTGAATACTTGGAGGCTGGGAGAGCATGGACTGTAGGGACCAGGCGGTGGGAGGGAATGGTACCCACAATGACCAGACAGAACTTCAGGCCTGGACTAGGGCAGTGGCTTTGCCCAGAGGGGAGACAGATATTTAGGATGTAAAACTGACAGCACTTGATGACCAACTGGATGGAGACCACATGACCTCCCTCGACTGTTGTTCAAACCACCAAGCTCTTCCCTTGGTTCCCCACCTGACAAATTTACCCTTTGGGAAAGCTCGGGGATTGCCTCCTCCAGGGTGGGCAGGAGAATGTGGGACTCGGTACCTCAGCTTTGGAGCCAGACCAATTGTGAGTTCCAACTCTGCCCTCACCAGCTCTGTAACCTTGGCCAAGGTACTTACCCTTCTTAGCTGCCCCGTCTCGAGGACAGGGCTAACAACAGGGCTCACCTCCCATTGTGCTGTGAGGTTTATGAGTTACCCAGCATAAAGCAGCGCGCCGGCCACATGGGGCACTTGGTAGACATCAGCCTTCATCATTCATGGCCTCCCTGTGCGCCTGTGTCACACACCTTAGGATCAAGTATCACACAAGTTTAGGATCAACTTGGGAAGAAGCCCAGGGGACTCACTGGCCCAGGAGGTGGTCTGTGTCTCCCTGCCCCAAGAACCACCAGTCTGGTCACCCTGGACTTTTTTTTTTGGAAACTTTTTTTTTAATAGTTATTGAATGTTCTACAGCTTACAGTAAATATCATAGTTACAAATTCTTGGCTTCAATCTTTCAGAGTGATCACTATCTGATCTTCAAAACAAAACGAAACAAAAACCCAAAAGAATCCAAAACAACAAAACAAAACCAGATTTACACTTCGTACACACAAGCGAGGCCATGGGGCTTTCCAATCTTTACACTCCAGGCTGTGTTTTGAAAACACCTATAAGTTCTTTGATCAAACTACTTGGAAGACACCAGTCAAAGGTTTATTATTATTATTATTATTTTGTTTTTCTTTTTAAAATGTGAGTTCCAATAAAATTTAAAAATTAGATTCCAACCTGTAGATTAAAAGGAATTAAAAAATACAAAATCATATACAACGCTCTCTCACAGGGATGTTACATGCCACGAGAACAGGTTTCTCTGTCATGTGATATGAAACAGGGATGCAGATGCCTTTTAGTCAGGAGATGGGGACAGGCCCTTGGGCCTTTAAAGGTCATTACAGACAACTCCAAGTTGCTAGAGGCCTGGCCTTACCTCCACATGGGTAAGGAGGAGCTTGAGTCCCACCATAGATCCAGACAATCTGGCTGACCCAAGAAGGTGGTCTCTGGGCAGTCCCACTCTTTCCTTGACACTCAGGCATGAGGAGGAAGGCTGGAGCCTGGAGATGCTGGTCTTGTTGGGGTCAGGCCCAAGATGATTTCACCCATTTGACTCCCATGGGCTGGTACTTATCTGCAAAGCTGTTGCATCTTCAGGAAGGAAAATAACCCCTCTACCAGGAGCTGGAATGGGTACCAGGCCTCACTGCAACAGCAAGGATGCCCAGGAACTACAGATGTAGCCATAGGGAAGCAACAGCTCTAGTTTCCCTTTCTGACTTTGTGGCAGCCAGTCCCAACTCCCATGTTCCTCACTTGGCCACTGGGCTGGACTGAACAGCATGCAAGATAGAAAGTACCCCTTGAAGAAACTGAGGGAGTGGGACCCAAGTCTGGCTCAGGCAAGGTTGGCTATGGAATGTTGAAGCTAGCCTGCCGGGAATTTTGAAGGCTGGGTCCTAGAACCATGTAATGCCTAATTTCAGAAACAAGTTTTCTAGGAGAGGGGAACATGGACACGTAAAGCATAAATCCTGCAGCTAGCCTGGCATGCCCATAGGAACCTGAGCTCTCAGAGGCTCAGGTGTGGAATCTGACGTCAGCCTGGCTGGGTTTCCTCTGCTGTGATCCTGCTTTCAGAGATGGGTTGGGCCTGGATCCCCCTGGGGTTGCATACCGGCATGGAGCCTGCTTCTCACCTGCCCACTCCACTGCCCAACCTGCCCTTCTCTGGATTCCCAAGCTTGGCAAGCAGCTGGGGACCGCATACCCTGTAATGATCCAGTGGAACACAGGGTGGAAAAGCAGACCTTCCACCTACTTTCACTCAACTGCAATTGAGGAGAAATGCCGTGGTTACACCTAATGAATGATCCAGCCAGAGTGCTGTGACCAAGACCACACCAAGACAAAGACCCATGCCCTCTAGGCCCTTCTTTGGCCACGGAGCAGAGTCAAGGAATCTGATATGCAGGGCTCCAGGCCTGGCTCGGTCAGTGCCTTGCTGGGACTCTGGCCGAGTTCTGTCTGCACAATGAGGATGCCAGAACTTGGCGACCAAGGGCTCTGCCCTACTTTAATACTCCACGTGATTAATTTCTGAAGGCCACTCGTAACAAAGCAAGCCCCTCCAAAGCAGCACCCCAAGATCTCCGAGACTGGGATACCTCAAACTTGGAACAATCTGGGCATCCAGGGGTAAGAGTTGGGGTGAGGACTAAGGACTGTGCAGTGTCTCTCTAGGTCCTGGTTCTCACCCAGGGGAAAAGCAAGCACAGGGAATGGAGTCAGATCTGCTTTTGGCCATTCAGGGCTACAACCAGGTCCCCTGGAAGTGCCAACTCACTGGATCTGAGCAGTGGGCAGGCTCTCCAAGGCCAAAAAGCAAGTGTGGACAGGCCTCCCAGGGACATGGGTCTTTCAATGGACAGATTCCCAGGGCTGCCCTTGAACATGTCTTCAGTCCTAGGCATCATGACCCCAAAGTGTTTTGTTCAAGTTAGGCCTTTTGTTGCAAATGCTCATCCTCCTGGTGCTGCCTGCTGGATATGCCTCTGGGTCCCCAGGGCCCCTCTAAAAATCTGCTCAGCTGGGAGGACTGAGCTGCTCAGTCTTCCTCTGTTTAAGGACAGAAAGGTAGCCCATCTCTTCTTCATGCCTGCCACTCAGACCCCACTAGGTGCCAGCAGAAAGAGCAGAGTGACCTTTGGCAAGTCTCTTAAGCCTTCTGAGACTTAGTTTTTTCCATCTATAAAATGGGGATTTTGGCAATCAATGTCAAAGTACTTTGTGCATGAAAAAAGCTCTGGCATGTGTGTGTGTCCTTGTTCAATATTTAGGGAGGGAGATATGCACTTTAGGGTCATTGCCAGGAGACAGAGAGAGGAGCAGCAGCAACTGTCCTGTCTCATGGGGAAGAAATAAAATTTTCAAAATGTGGTAGAAAGATTGTTTCAGGCTCTCACCACTTGAGGGCACTCCAGTTTCCAGACTCCAGCTTCCTAGGCCCCAGGCTAATGAGGAGAGGGAGTCAGGTAAACATGGGGGAAGCCAAGAGGGTTGGCTGGTGATTGGAACCATTTGTACCCCTAACCCTGGCCACCAAACTTGTGGTACTGGGAGAGGCAGTGGAGTGGGGTAGAGAGAGGAGTTTGCATGCTGGTGCCAGCACTGCAGCTCACTATGTCCGGCTGGCACACTCCTTGTCCTCTCTGGCTTGCTGGCCTTCCTACAATGACAGGGCCCTTCCAGCTCTGACCCTCCGTCCAACTTGACCACTGGGCCATCTAGCATCTTTGGATGATACCTATCGTACCTCCCTACAGGCACGGTGATCCTACCAGGTATGTTCATCCCACCAGAGGCACACCACTGCCCCTGCTCTCCTGGGCTCAGTCCCTTTGCAGTGACTCCCCAAGCTTGGCCAGGCTTGTGGATGTCCATCAAAGCAAGAGGCTGAGGCCAGCTGAACTGGGGCTCCGGTGCTCCTACTGAAAAAGGGTGCTGGGCGTGGGCTCTTCTAGACCACAGCCTCTCTGTGCCTCGTTTTTGCCTTGGGGCCTGTCTTTGATCTTGAATGACATGCTAGGGCTAAGAGAGGGTGCAGAGCACAGATGGTTCAGTCCAAGAGCCTGTGTGTGGAGTCAGACTGGCGGGAAAGAGAGAGCAGACAGACTGGGATTCAAGTGGCTTAGCCACTTATGAGCAAGTCACTTTGCTTTTCTGAGTCTCAGTTTCTTCATGGATCAAATGGGAGGAACAATCTATCTCACAAGGTTAAACCAGGGATGGATGTGAAATTGCTTCGTGAACTGTGAGGTACTAAATGTTAGTTTTTACTTACTGGTGTAGAAAGCACAACAGTCACAAGGTCATCCCTAGGTCTCCTCCTTTTCCCCTCCTCTCTGGTTCTACCCTAGCCCACCTGGAGGTAGCACAGTTCAGGGAAGCCTGTCGGGATACCAGCATTGTGCTCACTCTGAGGATGTTCCCTTTCCTTCTAGAACCGATTTCCTCACTTGTCAAATGGGTGTAATAACACGGACCCCGTCTCTCTCTCAGAGCCAGTAAATTAAAGGCTGTGAAGTGCTCTGAAATCTATGAAGCACCTGACAAATGCAAAGGTTTCCTAATATAATTATTATTATCATTATTATTATTTTGGCATTTTCCAAACATGTATGACATAATCTAAAACAACCTTCACTCACTCTTACAAAACCAGAGAGTAGGAGGAGGTATTTGGACAAAATGGATTAACACTGGAAAACTTTCTGTTGTTTTAAAACAAAACCTCTTCAGCACCCCAGAGCAGACCACAGAACAGCTGGGTTTCTCCTTACTGGTCTTGCAGTTCCCTGGAAGGCCAAGAAGATGGGCCCCCAAGTCCTAGCTCTGGGCCAAGGATGCTGATGGTCTTTGACCTCCTGGGAACAGCCAGACAGGTCCTGCTGGCCCAAGGGTTTCCTGATTTTTTCCTCCTTTAGGGAGACATGGGAGGTAGGGGTAGGGGTATGTTTGCATGAATTTAAAATGAAAAGAGTTATTTAAAAGTCCCAAATATTATCAATGATCTCATTTTGTACAGTAAATGTTCCTGCATCCCCCCAGAGGGGCTGCTGGCCCAGCCAAGCGGTGGGGCCAGGGGGGCAGTGCTCGGCAACCCAGCTCCTGGCTGAGACTAGGGGGCCTCCTGACCCAGGGGTCCTCCTTCTCCCAGGAGAGCCCATGTCTCCTGGGCCTCATCCTCATGCTCCTTTCCTCTCAAGACGAGGGGCTGCTGTCCTAACAGCATGGACTCTCCTTTTTAGCCAGCCCATCTGCTCCTTCTCCTAGGGCTGGAGTCAGGTATAGGACAAAAGTTTCAGATGTCTTCACAGAATTTCCAAATGTTATTTCTTCATTTGAAACTTCTGTTTCTGCCATCTGCCCCCATGTGACCTCTGCCTAGTCTTCAACCCCCATCTTTGAAGTGAGTGGAGGAAAAGAGCAGAAACCAAAGCCCAGAGCTCACCAGGTGGGGCGCTGCTGACTTAATTTTTACAAAACTAAGCCGATTCATCTGATCCATTCCTCAGTAAATTTTGGGCAACATGCCCCTAGGTAGGAAGGCTGCATTTAATGCTAATTTACTGCGAGGTCTAGGGAAGTCCTTTTCTGTTCTCTGGGCCTCAGCTTCCTCATCTGTCAAATAGGGGAATGGATGAGATGATTGCTAAGGTCCCTTCAGTTCCATGAGGCTATGAAATGTTTATTGCTATTGCTTTTCCTTCACTATCCTGACCCTCCGAGCTGCCAGCACCCACCTGGAATGTGGTTCCTTCACTTTGGCCATGAATGGCACAAGGTAACCAAGAGCTTGGCATGCCTGCCTGCCCACAGACACACAGGTGAGCCCTGGCATTACGAAGGGCAGAGGGAAGGGAGAGAATACTATAGGTTCCCACTCTAATCAGGAGGAAGCTCCTCATCAGAGTGGGTCCATGAGGGCTCAGAAGCCAAGGTCTGGATTACACAGGGCACCTGGCCTTCCAAGGCTTTGGGAGGCTGGGAGCCCACCACCCTGCAGCTGCTTGGCAGGTCTGAGGTCAAAATCACCTTCTGAGGAAGTGCCAGGTCAGTTAACATCACCGTGCAAATCAGAGGGTCCAGGCCCAGACAGTTTGGCCAGAGACCTTACAAACCAAAGCCAGCAAGCAAGCACCTCTCTCCCCTCTTCTCTCTTCCTTCCCCCCCCCCCCCCCCCCCCAAGTTTTCCCAAAGAAAGAATCTGGTTTTCCCAGGTTCTCACCTGGGGTATTAAGCTGCTATGAACACTCCTACCTAATCAGGGGGTTTGGTTCTTGGTCTGTTACGATGGTTCTCAGAAGACATTTCGTTTGTGTCAAGACACAATAATGTCCTAAACTAATCGTGCTTGAGAAAATCAAAAAAGAAACAATCCCCCAGAGATGTGGCCTGCTCAACAGTTCTGAGTTCCTACCCTGGACCCGAGGGCCACATCTGTTATGCTCTTCAAAGGAAATTGTGCCTTCAGCTGAACCACTGCAATAAACCCCACTCTCTGCCTGCAACTAGACTGGGATCCCCGGGGACTGGGTACTTTGGGACGGGAAGAGCAGAGAGGATGTGCCTGGTCAGGTAGGAGGAGGGGGTCGAGCCAGAGAGGCAGTGGCTAAGAGGGTGATAGTGGGGAGAGGCAGGAGATTAGAAAAAGCAGCTTTTACAAAAACCAAAAATAAAAACCAAAACCATTAAGATGCATAAAGTGACCCTTGCACTTCCGTTGTCTCTTCTTGCAAATAGAGGTGGTGCTGCTAGGGAACTGCTCCAGCACCTGTGTAAGACTTGAGTAGTTGCATACAATGTGTGACTCCAGATCTGGGGGAGGAATGGGAAAGCCGTTAGTCACAGTGATATTCCCGAGGCCACTTCAGGAAGCCACTGAACCCTTTCCCTCACTTTGGGAGCCCTAAGTGGAGCCCTGTGTGCCTTCTCACTGGAGCCACCTGCTTCCCTACCAGTGTGAAGAGACCCTGGCGGAGGTGGAGGGGCAGGGGTGATGAGGAGGTAGGGCAGAGGATTTCGAAGGGACATCCCCAGAGCCCTGTGGTTCACTGGCACTGCCTCAGGAGCTGCTGAAAGCAGTAAGGAAGCTGGGGGTGGGGGTCGGCCCAAGGTCTCCACCTGGCCCCAGTCAGAGCCAACATCTGATTGTGGTAAGATTTCATTTGAAGAATGGGGCCCACAGTTAAAAGAAGTCTGAAGACCATTCGGTAAAGAGCATAGAATTCAGTACCAGAGGACTGGAGGTCCAAGTCCCAGCTTAATTTTTACTGGTTTAAGTGACGCTCGTCACCTAATACCTAAATCTGATTAAATTAGCTGATCACTAAAATACAGCTAATGATTCTTATTTCACAGAGCTACTGTAAGGATTGAGATAACATATAAAGTATCTAGAATATATATAAAGTGTCAGCTATTATTAAGAGTGATATTACTGAACTTGGAGCAAGAAAGCAACTGGTATTGTCACCTGCCCCCTGCTGACACCTGTGCTTCAGACCAAGCCAGGGGCTTTGAGGCAGTTCCAGTATTCAGTGACCCTCTTACCTCTCCCGCCCCGGCCCCACTCACTTGCATGGGCTGCAGGCTTTACCAGTGCGGGGGCACGTAGCTGTACGCAGGGGTCCCTTGGGCCCTGTATGTTGGCATGGAGACAGGGTGTGCCCCAATCGCGGTGTGCTGGGGTGCAGTCAGCAGGGTTCCTGAGCAACCAGAAAGAGATTAAACCTGATGAGGCCGTCCCAAGGCACTGGGACGAAAAGGATGAAGCCATGGTCTTGACAGCTGCTCCTCCCTGGGCCACACCTCCCCACCTGCTCATGAAATGCTGCCCACCCTTCCCCACCTTGCCAGGCTTCATCTCCTTCAGGAAAGGTTTTCTGATGCTCCAGGACAGAGTCAATCACGCTTCTTCAGTGGCCTCCTCCTAATCTTCTCTGTATGCTCCTCTTATTGCACAAACATCATACGGAGTGGTAATTGTTGGTTTATGTGGTCACGTTTCCCACCAACCTAGCTGTTCCTAAAGGCAGGGCTCTGGTCCGATCTATCGGTAACTGGTCCCCAGGACCTGAACAACAAAGCTGGCACGGAGCAGATGTTCAATACTTGCTGACCTTATCTGGGGAATGAGAGGCCTCAACAACCCCTTACGTTAGGGGCAGAATAAAATCCCAACTCCCACCTCTCCCCCAACTCAATCTGCTTGTTCTCTCTTCTCTCAGAAGGTGACCCAGTGGATTCTCTAAAAGTTGGGTCTCTAAAGGTTATTCATAGCCCTCTTGCCTTCTCATGCTCTCTTTTTGAATGTCAGCTCATCCAAAGACTTCCCTAAACCTGCTCTTCCTCTGTTGTCTCTCCCCATCCCCAGCCTCAAGGTTCCTGAAGGGCAAGGCTCTGATTTCTGGAGTAAGCCAGAAACGGAGAAAGGGTCTTCCTGGACTCCTGCTTCTCCCATGCCTTACAATCACTGGACAGGTCCTTAAGCTCCTCCCTGCTAAATAAGATTGCCCAATGCCCTCCTTTCTGGAACCCTGCTGCTACCTGAGTCCTAGCATCATCATCTCTCCTCTAAACTATAGCCTCCCCACTGACCCCCCGGTTCCAGCCTCTCCCTATCTGATCCTGCCTCCACTTGCAGCCAGAGAGAATGTTTAAACCAAACCTGATCCCTCTGCTTAAACCCCTTTGTTAGCTCCCCGTTACCTAAAGTTATTCACCACTCTTCACCACTTTATCTTTGTTGACTGCTCCGGCCACCCTTCCAACTCCATAGGCCTATTTTCTAAGTGTCTTGGACCATTTGCCTTCTGTGAACATGCCACACTCATGTCTGCCTGGCCTTTTCCCTCTTTCATCTCTCTGGTTAGCCTCTGTTCACCCTTTATGGCCTAGCTCAATATGCCCTCCTTGGTGCAATCTTCCTCATACCCGTGGACAGATTTAGAGGGTACTTCCTCTGGGTTCCCAGAACCTCTTGGCACAGGATTTCTCATGCTACAGCTGATTCCATGACTGTGTTCTCTACTCTGTTATGAGTTCCTGGAGGAGGCAGATGGACACTGACACAGACGCTGCCCTCACCTGCTGACATCGCCATGGTGGTGCCAGCCACCATGCCCATGGCCACGCCGTTGGTCCTGGGGGCAGCGACAGGCGCTGGGTAGATGGCAGAGGGAATGCTGTTGGGCTGGACGACCGTGGTGTGGTGGATGACGTGGGGTTGGGCAGCGTACACCGGCTGTGTATAGTAGGCTCCCTGGGGGAAAGAGGCTGAGGTCACACAGGCTTTTGGAAGAGGTGGGGTGGGATATGGAGAGGAGGAGAGGAGAGGGGAGCTTGTCCTTCCCAGATCCTAAGGGATGGGGTTAGAGAAGCACTGGCCCAGGGACACACGTCTGGGTGCCAGCTGGGACTCTGCTTCTCTCTTACTACATGACTGCATGGATAGTTCAGTGCTGGGCTCAGCTCTGGTCTGAAAAATAAGGCTCCAACCGTGTCCTGCCTTGGTCCTAGGGCTGCCATTATGATCTAATGGGGTAGGAGCTCTACTCCCTTAACCTTGATCCTAGCATTTTAAAATGTCTGTATCTGGGGCCGGCCTGGTGGCGCAGCAGTTAAGTGTGCACATTCTGCTTCAGTGGTCTGGAGTTTGCCGGTTCAGATCCCAGGTGCGGACATGGCACCGTTTGACAAGCCATGCTGTGGTAGGCGTCTCACGTATAAAGTAGAGGAAGATGGGCATGGATGTTAGCTCAGGGCCAGTCTTCCTCAGCAAAACGAGGAGGATTGGCAGCAGATGTTAGCTCAGAGCTAATCTTCCTCAAAAAAAAAAAAAAAAAGTCTGTAGTCTGTATCTTATTGCAATGTGCTTCTATAAGCTGCCTAAAATGTAAAGGGAGTGACCACAATCAATAGTGAAGAAGGATGTGGATGGGGCTGGTGGACACTGAGTACCGTGTGCATATACATGGAGGATTGCTAGTGGGACTATCATAGTGGTGCGAATGCTTCCAGTCTACATACTGGAAAAACGTCACAAATGCAGAGCATTTCCCCACGTGTCTCTTAGTATCTATTTCCCTTTACGCAAAAAGGTTGAAGATGGAGTCAACAGTTTGAGGTGACTTCCCACTGCCTGCAGCACATGGCTGCTTCCTGCTGCCACAGCCCACAGGCCTGCTGACTTGGGACAGAGTAGACAGGGACCCCTGGATCATCTTAATCCAGAGCTTTTCAATGTTTCTCCTAACTAATGACAAGAACCTTAGAATGTCCATTTGTAACCTCAGAGGTCTGATAGCATAGTGCAAAACTACCTACCACGAACAAGAAAAACTTATCTCAAGCCTATTGTTTCATCTTTTAAAAGTTTTACATTCTACTCTACAATATAGCTGTTTTTTATTCTTTTAATTTATTTTTAAAATTTTTTTTTGAGGAAGATTAGCTCTGAGCTAACATCTGCTGCCAATCCTTCTCTTTTTGCTGAGGAAGACTGGCCCTGAGCTAACATCCTTGCCCATCTTCCTGAACTTTATATGTGGGATGCCTACCACAGCATGGCTTGACAAGGGGTGCCATGTCTGCCCCTGGGATCCGAACTGGCGAACCCCAGGCCACCGAAGCGGAACACACACACTTAACTGCTGCGCTACCGGGCTGGCCCCTATAGCTGTTTTTTAAACTAAAAAAGTATTCTCCTCACTACTTAAACTTCTTGTAAAATTGTCACTCCAGAAAAATGTGCCACATGTAGCTGGAGCCTCATCTGGTCCCAGTCTCACAGCCATCCCCTCGGAGTCAGCACAGTCTCTAGTTGAAGGAGCCCAGATGGGGGCACGAAGGCACAGAGAGAGGAAATAACTTTGCCCAGGGTCATCCAGGGAACTGGTGGTAGAGCCTGGGCACTTACTCCTCCTTACTCAGCTCACAAACTTTAGGAAGGAAGGGTAGATGCCGCGGGTAGGGAGAGAAGCCCAAGACATATGGGGTCTCATCCTGACTCAACCAGTAGCTCCCTGTGTGATCTTGGACAAGTCACTCCCCTCTCTGGCTCTCAGCTTCCCCACTTGTATTAAAAGGAGTTGAGCTAGGTGATCTCCAGGGCCCCTGCCCCTCTGATATTCTGGGCTCCATTAACCAGAATGACTTTGTGTGTCACCCCTCCAGGGGCTGAGGTAGAGTAGGAGAATGTGTAGACTGCAGGGATATTGTTCCAATGACATAACAGTGACAGCTGGCCAGATCCATGAACTCTCCTTCCCTCTCTTCCTCACCCACCCCCACCCCACCCAGGCTGGTGGCTCATTTACCTGCAGAAGAGGTGGGCCCAGGCTTCTATGTGCACCTACCTGGGCATACAGATTCTGCTGGGGGTAGGCACTTCTGATTGGATACATGGCCGTCTGATAGGGGTTGGGTGATGGGGAGTAGGGGGGCGGAGCAGTATTACTCTGGGTTGGCGGGACCTTGTATGGTGTCCCCGCAGTATATCCTGTACCAAGGCAATAAGAGAGACTTCCAGTTAGTTGGCAGAACAGCATTGTTGGAAGGTAGTAGGTCCCAGTCACGACTCCCTAGACAAGGATGGGCTGAATCCAGGCTGGAAACACAGATGAGAACAGACAGAGGACAGGGCTCCACCCAGAGAGCCCTGGCCCCAGAGGCAGCTCCCTCAGTCCTGGTGCACAGGGCTGCATGTGTGATTCTGGCATCTTTTATTTCTCTGGGTCTCAGGGCTCTGACCTATAAAATAAGAGGCTGGAACCAGATGATCTCTTAAGGGACCCTTGCAGCTTGGACAGTCTGGAAGTCTGAGCTATGTGCCACGACACAGGCAAGTACACACAGACGGGAGACCTTCAATCCGCTCGCTCTTTATCGCACTCCATCTTGCCTTTCTGTCTCTTCACTTAGCACCCCAGGGTATCTTCTGCTGCCATATCTGTCTTTCTGTCGTGCTTTTCCCCTTAGCCTCTCTTTCTTTTTCTCCTATTATCCTCCCTTTTTGACTCCCTTTACCATGTTCCCCTTCCTCCCTGCCAAATTTTAAGGTGGAATCCCATAAAAGTCGTCATTCAGAGATCCTCATCTTTTGGGATGCTGAAAAGGTTTGCTCTACAGAGCTGGCTTTTCCTCCCCTCCTGGGGCTTGGGGGAGGCCACCACTGCCTGAGGGCCTGATGTCAGGGATCACAAAGGTTCACATTGACCTGGAATCCAGGCCAAGTCAGCACCTCAGCAGGATGGACAAAAGCTGGGGCTGGGGCTGAGAAGTCAGGCCCCAAGAAGTTCTCAATCAGCCATTCAAATAAATTGTGCTGCCTTTGAATCTTCTGGAAAAGAGAGTCAGATCTTATGTTCACAGGAAAAACTTGAAACATGAATCACTCAGGAACAAGACTGTGTCCTTACAGAATCACAAAATGGGATGATTCTATGGAACCCAAATATCATCAAGTGACCCCAACTCTCTCACTTTACACAAAGGGATCCTGGGGCCCAGAAAGGGCAAGTCTTTTTAGGAACTTCTCCTTCTTCCCGAGTTGAAGAGACAGTGCCTGAGGGGCCTGGCTTTGGAGTTCTAATGGAGTGTTGCTGAGCCTTCTTCCCTGTGGTCCTCATTCTGGCTTGGTCTGGCTGACACACCACCAGACTTCTCTGGGCCTCAGGTCTTTCATCTACAAGATGCTCACCAAGAACCCTTTCAGCAACATTGTGCTGTTTCTGCAAGAAGGGACCGAAGGCAGAGTGGAGAAGGTACTTTATTGGAAGAGAAGAGATCTTGGCTTCAGTCTGTGGTTTCCTCCAATTGCTATGACTATTGCTAAGTCTCTGGGCCTTAGTTTCTTATTTTGTAAAATCATAAGTCTAAGAATGAAGATTTCTTCTGAACTAAAATCTCATTGTTCTAAAGATCCTGAGTCTCTTCTACCGTAACCTTAAGTAAAAGAAAGCTGCCATATGGTCACAAATCTTTCTCACTCCACACCACAGCTTTGGCTTGGCACCTCTCTGCCCCTGATGAGGTACTCAGTAGGATATGAGAGCTGCTGTTTAGTCACCACAAAAGGCACCAAAAAGTGTCCTGTCCTCTCCCCTGGAATCATGTCATTTATCCTTCCACCTGCAGATCCATAGTTTATCCCAAGAGAAATTGGTTTGGTGGACAAATATGTTTGGGAAATAAGGAGCAATGAGGATAGAGTGAAAAGAATAATCGATAAGAATTAGAAACTAACTGGAAGTGGAGGTGCAAGTCAGTTGAGGGAGAAGTTTAGAGCAGACCCCTCCCAGTTTCTAGACTGTGGAGCTAAGCATGAGATGTGCTCATAGGAGGAGACGCAAACACTGTGGGGGAAGACACAGAGTCTAGGTTTGCAGACATCCAGAAGGAGCGGTCTGATGGGTACTCCACCTTGGAGACACAATTTACCTGTCTGTAAAACAAAGGGGGTTCTCACGATGGGAATGTCCTATGAGTGTTCAATAGACTATGATTCTGAGTAATCTTAATTGTTGTTGAGTCAACAGAAGCAGCAGCAGCAATGTAAAATCGAGACAAATAGGTTTGTCTGTTTTTTATTCTATGACCCTGAGAAGTTTTTAAATGATAGGACAAACTGTGAATCTCCAAGATAGGGATATGCAGGAAACTTTTTCCAAATTGAGTTTACCACAGAATCTTTCATTCACACTATTAACATTTAAAACAAAACAAACTACAGTTATGTGTAATTGCAGCTTGTTTTGGTAAATAAAGTTTTTTGTGTAACACGACCACACCCATTCATTTACATATTGACTATGGCAGCTTTCCTGGTACAATGGTAGTTAATGCCAGAGACCACATGGCCTGAAAAGCCTAAACTATTTATTATCTGGCCCTTTACAGGAAAAGCTTGCTGATTCCAGATTTAAAGGAATAAAGCAAGGTATGGGGAGTCCTGCCAGAGTGGAGAGCCTTTCTCTTCCAGGCAGGAGGGCAGGAGATCCTGAATGCCCAGATGCCTGTCTCTCAAAGCTAACCAGCACAGAGCAGTGGTTGTGAGTAGTCTGGAGCCCGAGCCTGCTGTTTCATAGCTGTAGAATCCATCAGTCTCCTCATCTGTAAAATGGGGATAATAACAGTACCTACTGCGTAGGGTCACTGTGATCAGTACATTAACTAATAAGTGCAAAGCCCTCAGAACAGTGCCTGACACATTAAAAGCACTTCACAAAGGTCAGCTATTATTTTTCTCTGTCTCTCACTGTACAGAGAGATAGGAAGCTTCCTGTCCTGGGGGTGTGCGAGCAGAGACTCGTCTGAAAGACTACAGTAGATAGTTTAAACTATGACTTCTATGATGCGATCCAACTCGGAGCACAGACTAGAGGATTCTAAGATTCTAAAATTCTATGTTTTAAAATGCCATAATTTTATGATTCTTTAAAGTTAACAAGTCAACAATGCTGGTGACTTTCCTTTATGCTCCCTGAGAATGTGCTCTGGAATTTTTAATCCCCTGGGAAGCCTGCACTACCCGCTCTATGCCACAAAGACAACCATCTTACAAAGTGTTGAGATCATCCCTCTGAGGAAAATCAAAAGCCTTCAAGAGACTGCAGTAGAATTTGGTTTCTACATCTAAGAATAACCTTGTCTGAGAATGTTTCCCTTTCTTCATGTTATGAAGTAAGACACACACATACTCAGCATACAAATCAGCAGCCAAAACACCCTGAGCAGCCAAAAAGATGATGCTGCAGAAGAAGGCCTTGTCTGCTTGAGAAGGAAGAAGTGGAGTTGCAGAGCTAGAATAGATCTCAGCAGTCATTAAGACCAACAGACATGTTGCACAGACAAGATAACGAATAGAGGGAGAGAGGGAGGGAGGGAGGGAGAGAAAGAGAGAGAGAGAGAGAGAGAGAGAGAGAGAGAGAGAGAGAGAACAACTGTTTGAGGACCCAGGAGTCAGTGTTCCTTCCTCTAACTACAGGGCTTCTCAAGGTGACCATTTATGTCAGGAGGCTGAAAGGTGACCACTTATGTCAGGAGGCTGCAGGAGCTGCCCTGGGTCCCCATCCTGGGCTCTGTCAGTGAGTCAGGTCAATTCTCTCAAGGAATACCCTCATTTGGACTAGAAAATAACAAAGGACCTTTGCAGTCCTGAGATTCTAAGTCTCTTAGTATGTCAGTGAAACTTTTATGAGGAAATCATTGCAGAGGACTTTCCACAACTGACTGGTGGTCCTGTCCACACCCTTGAGGATCACTGCAAATTCCCCTGAGACTGTAGCCTGAGCTACCTTGGATGTCACAATATTCAGGGTTTATTACTTTGTGCATCTAAATAAAAGAAGCTGTTGAGCTTGATGCAAAAAAAAAAAAAAAACCACTTGTGGATTTTGCTCAAACAAATTCAGACTCAACTCACTCACTGGAGGCCTGGCTCTCCTGAAAGGATTTCTACCTAGGTCTGATTCAGGACTTTGGAATGCTATGCTTTAAGGACCTTAGAGACTTGCACTGAACCTTCTCCATTTCAGATGAAGAACCTGGAGCCCAAAGGGGCAGCAACTTTCCCAAATTACACAGCAAATCAGTGCAGAGCTGGGCCCAGAGCTCAGGGCTTACTATGCCCTGGTTAGAGCTCCTTTGTGAGTTATGGGTCTCTGCAGTGCAATCTTGGGCATTTGGTATAGTGGCCTTTGTGTTCCCATTTCACTAAAGGCAATATCATGAGAGAAAAAAGGAATCCGATCACAGAAGTCCCAGCTCTGCCTTATGAAAGAAGCTTTGTTTACAATGCGCTGTTCTTTCTCTCAGGTTCCTAACCATAATTTTAGGCTCCATCAAACAGGATAATAAAGAGAGTGTGTACATTAGCAAGATAAAATCTTTTCAGCCTTCTCTTCAATCCTTCTGCACCGTCATAAATCTTTTTCAGTTGTAGAGCCCCTACCACCTTCAAAGCCATTGATCCTCACATAAAGGATGCCTTTTAGACTAATTGGTTTATTGACCATCAGATTTATATGTCTCGACAAGGCTCTATGTCTGATTCTTGCCTTAACCCCCAAGTCTCCTTGTTGGTAGCCGAACAAGAAAGTGCTGAGTAAGTAGGAGGGAGACCTAATGACAAACAGGCTTAGCAAGTGTTGGTGAAATTGAACTGAATTTGTTAAAGTGCCCTGAATTTCTGTGGTATTAGAAGTGCCAAAATCTGTGTGTCTGGAAGCACCCTGGTGTACGTAGGAGGGTCAGTCGACCTCACATCTATGTAAAAATTGCACAGGTTCATACATTACTCGCTTAAAAGAGACGGGGTACATTCTGGTCCTTTCCAGGGACTGTAATAGCCTGTGAGAGGACAGTGGGATGTAGCTACTGGACATTTCAACAGGACTTCAAGGAGATTTCAACAGAGTAGAAGGTAAGGCCTTCTAATATTCAAACTTTCTCACTGTGGAAAGGGTTGCCTCTGGAGGGAATGAGTGCCCCACACCTGGAGATGTGTGAGCAAAGGCTAGTTGGCAAACTACTAGTCAAGGCAGCTAGAGAAGAGGTCCCTGCCAGGGTGGAGGACACTGAGTACACAGCACCAAGGTAAGAGAATCAGGAGTCTAATAGCTAGAGAGAACCTTAAAGATGACCTAGTCCAGCCCCCTCATTTTACAGTTGGAAAAACCAAGGTCCAAAGCATGGACATAAATTATCCAAGGTTACATAGAACCAAGTCTAGAATTCAACACTTTCGGTTTTCCACTCCAGGTCTCTTTCTGCTACGTTACAGTGGCTGTGTCTATAAGCATCTACATCCATATGTGTAGCTAAAAGAGAGAATATGCATGTATAAGTCCATTTACATATCTAATTCACAGGTATCTGGAAAAACTCCCTACTGCTGCCATCCCTCTCTTAAAGAAGAAATCTCATGAAAAAAGTCAGTAACAGAAAATTAACCTGGTGGTATCTTTTTCTAGCTGTGCTGCTTACTAGTTGGATGATAGTGGGTGCATTACCTTTTGAGCCCCAGCTTTCAAACTGGAATAAAAATTCACCCAAATCATAGGACTATAGTGTAGATTAAATGAGAAGGTAATTATGAAAACATATTCTCAAAAAGGTGAGAGTTATGTTGTATAAACATAAATTGATGTTGACATGTAGGGGCAATGATAACTAAGGAGAAAATAACATTGGGTATTTAAAAGAAAAGAAAAAACAATGTATTCTTCTAATCTACTTACTTAATAGATTAATAATTTGCTGAACCACACACCACTGGGCCTAGTCTGCAACATCCCTCTAAGGGCTTGTCCAGCCCCTGCTGGTACAACTTAAGAGACAGGCGCACATCACATTCAAAGCCAGACATTCTCTTTTGGACAGCTCCAATAAAGTACAAGGTTTTTCCTTATACAGAGTCAAAATGCCATTCTAATTTCAAAACACTGGTCCTCATTTTACCCGGTGGAGCCATTTTGTGTTAAAAATCAGATGTGAAGGTGAAACCATTAGTCGCCCCACTCAAGATGAACCTCAAGATGAATGTCACCAATCTGACTGGGCAGATGGTTTCTCTCCTCCCTGAGGACTCCACGTACATACCTTGCTCCCATAGTGTAGCTTCCACTAGGGCAGTGTTTCTCACACTAGGGGCAATTTTGTCCCCCTGCCAAGGGATATTTAGCAATGTTTAGAGACATTTTTGACTGTCATAATGAGAGTTTGCTACTGGCATCCAGTGGGTAGAGGCCAGGGATGCTGCTAAGCATCCTACAATGCACAGGACAGCTCCCCACAACAAAAAATTATCTGGTCCAGATGTCCATAGTGCCAAGGCTGAGAAATACTGTGCTAGCTGGAGGAGGTCTCTCTGTCCAAAGGTCCACAGGCCTTCAAATGTGTCCTCTGTCCTTTCCCTTGAATGCAGTAACAACCATTCCCTCATCAAACTTTTTGGCCAGGTGAGTACTTCCTTCTCCTTCCCTCACTGCTTTGTGTCTCCCCAAAGCTGGGTATATGATCAAAGAGGATGACCTTTCCGGAATGAGGAGGGCCAATTTTTTGCATGGGTAGGAGAACCTCTTAAAATAGTGTCTTGTAAATGTCAGTTTTACAAGTTCCCTTTCCTTTCTTCCTAAGAGACAAATAAGTCCCAACCAAGGGGAACAAGGAAAGGAGGAGACAGGCTGTATTTACTGAAAGCCGCAGAGGATGCTTGGTAAGTTCGGTTCTCGGTCCCGGTGTCCACTGGGAGGTGGAAGGTGCCTTCAGTGCCACAGGAAGACGAGTTCTGTGGCCAGGCCTGTTTCATCAGCAGAGTTGCTTAAGGGAAGACACAAGAATGGCATTAGGCAGAAATAAGAAGTGGGCACCACCAATCACAGACACAAAGCAAGGGTCTTGTGCTGGACGGAAACATATAACCCAAGGGGCCCTGTTCAGACACACAGGATGGTCCAGCCTTTCTGAGATGGGTGAGTGGTTGAGGGGAGTGCCAAAGTGAGGTTCCAAATGATTTGAAACTGAGGAAATCTGAGCTTATAATAATTAGGAGAGTCAGGATTTTCTACCCACTAATGAAACCACAAAGATGCCTATAAATACTGCCTTCTACTGCCTAACATTCTGGCCTAAGGCTCTGGGATGTTCCTTAGTCACTTTCTCATTAATGTGTAGCAACTTGGAGCCTTTGACTATTTATTGGGCCAGATCAACTGAGTACTCTTTTTTTATGCCTGAAATCTCATCTGGAGGTGTATTTAATAAGTTACTTGCAAAGAGAGACCCAAAAATAATTACCACATGACATGAACCTTGCTGGACTGCCATCTCTTCTAAAGGGACTGAGTTTTGGCAGCGCAGAAAGCACAGTGGGGTACTCCCTGCTAACTCCTTCTCCTGTACACCCAGCTGGGACCAGATAGACATACCTCTTGCACACCCTTTATACCTTCTGCTGAGGTGCTACTGGTGCCCCATCATGAGATATCTCCTCACGAATTAGAGATGATCTTTGGGCCATTAAGAAAGTAAATGTCAAACTTGGGGTAGGTGTGAAATGAGATGATGCTCAGTTTGAAGGAAATCTGCAGAGACTTCCCAGGCTGACTCACAGCTCAGCTTGAGAAATTTGAAGGATGATGCTTCATATGTTCTAGAAGTGGGGAGTGACTCAAAAAACTTACCTTCATGGTATCCTGCGGGGAAGGAGAGAGGAAATAGAGTTTCAAAGGGGGAAAATGCCTAACTTTTTAGCTATTTCCCTTGATATACTTCCAAACACTAGAGGAGAAACGTTCTTGACCCAAATTTCTACTTTTATGGTAAAAAGAATTACTTTAACAGTACCTTTTTCACTCAAATAAGGTCTTGGGAGTCATGGATATGGGGTGTTTTAAAGTATATAAGTAGGAGGTGGGTTGCATTGGCAATAGCCAGATATACGTGAAACATTTTAACAAGGGGCTAAGGTAAGACAGGGTGGTAGGAGAAGAAAGTATGCCTATACACTCTAATTCCACCAGGACAAGGATAGTCCACCTCCAGAGAGATCCCATAGCCCCCTCTGGCTGTCAGGCTAATAGGTAATACCTCTGGTTCCTTCAGTCATGGAAGTACAGGGGCCAGAGAAGAAGGTCAAGGACTCTGCTGTTTTTGCTGAACCACGGCTAGAAGTGTAGTTGTTCTGGACTGACCCTGTGCTTGCATTAATGGCCCGCAATACATACAGCAGAAGCTGAGAAATGAGAAGGAAATCATGGGCAGGAAAGTGACACTAAAAGGAGAATTCTGGCAGAAGAAATGCAGACCCAGCAGAATTCCATGCAGAGTCCAGGGCCTTTGCTGGACATCCAGACATGGCTCTGCAGACAATGCAGGAGGAGGGCAATCTGTTTTAAACAATTATCTTGGGTTTCTTTTCCTGGGGAGGTAGGGGTAAGGGTGGGGATTAATAAACAATCCAATTAGCACTGAAAAATCTTATCAAGAGGTCTCCAAATTTAGAACCTGCCACTCCATGTGGCTGGAAAGCCCTGGCCACCCAAAACAACTCCCTAAAAAGTGAAACAAGTAGCTCTGAGAAGTCACATAGAGCAAGCCCATGCCCTCAAGACCCCATAGGGACTCCACCAGGAAGCAGGAGGCCTGAATTTGGCTGCAGAGAATTTGGAGGTCTTGTTCCGGTCCAGTTGTTTCCCCAAGTGGTGCATACTTTACCACAATTCTCATCATAGGCCAAAAGTCTGACATTAGCCTGAAGGACTGTGTGACAATTTAAGTAAGTAAATCAAAATTAACCAAAGAGTGACTGAGGCCTACACTGCGCTCAGCACTGAGGGGAGCGCCACGGTGGACAGGAACACACGTGGGTCATGGTCACCGCACACAAGGTACTCATGGTCTAGCTGGGGATGCAACACAGCCACACGCCAACCAGAGAGTGAACAAGACAGCATTGCACACAGTAAAATAAGGTTCCAGATTAACCAGGAAAGAAGCAAGTGCGACTGTGCCTTTGATTATGTCTTTCCCTAGATCAAGTGAACTAAACTATACATGTTCCTGAAGAAGTGGGTATTTTCTTTTGGTTTTATTATAAAGAAAACAAGTATTAGTATTTTCTATATTTCTCTGTATATATGAATACTTAGTAATTTAAATAACTGGGTAAATATGAAAACCCAAACCAAAAAACAACAAATATTAGCTGTCAACTTGACTTCCTCATTAAGTAGCTGTTCCATATGATCTTCCTCCTCCATGAAAAATTCTAAAGTCACCCATGCTGTTGGTGGTAGTGATTGAGAGCTCAGTTGTGGGATAAAGATAATCCAACTGATGCTTTTAGAGCAGGCTGCTCTGACAGATATGCCTGCCATGAAAGGTAGCAACTCCTAGAAATGTTCTACATTTTGAACTGGGTGGTAGTTAAATACAAGTGTATACATATATCAAATATTACTGAGCTGTACATTTGAAACTAGTGCACTTATGTACTACAGTATATGTGTTACTCTTCAATTTAAAAAGGAGAGAGAGAGAGAACCCTTGGCAGTGAAGGGCCATGGCCCAGTCACAGCATGCTGCCCACATCCAGGTGCTGGGTTGTTCACTTCCCTGGATACGGGGCCCTCACGCCCTCTGACACTTGAACAATCTGTTAAGCACACTTACAAGGAGGAGAGGCAGCAAGGGACCATCATCCTGAACAATGTAGTAAGTCAGGAAATCTGAGTTCTAGCCTGGGCTGTGCCACTTATGAGCTGTGGGACCTTGGGCAAGTTGCTAAACCTTTCTAAGCTTCTGTTTTGCTGTCTGATAAAATGGCAATAATAATCACTCCCTGATCGGGGCTGGCCCTGTGGCCAAGTGGTTAAGTTCGCGCTCTCCGCTGCAGGTGGCCCAGTGTTTCGTTGGTTCGAATCCTGGGCACGGACATGGCACTGCTCATCAAATCACGCTGAGGCAGTGTCCCACATGCCACAACTAGAAGGACCCACAATGAAGAATATACAACTATGTACTGGGAAGTTTTGGGGAGAAAAAGGAAAAAAATAAAATCTTAAAAGAAAAAAAATAATCACTCCCTGATCACTTCATAGTGTTGACGTGAGGATCAAAAATAAAGTGTCATCCAGGGCCGGCCCCATGGCTGAGTGGTTAAGTTGGCATGCTCTGCTTCAACGGCCCAGGGTTTCGCTGGTTTGGATCCTGGGCACGGACGTGGCACCGCTCATCAGGCCACACTGAGGCGGCGTCCCACATGCCACAACTAGAAGGACCCACAACTAAAAATACACAACTATGTACTGGGGGGCTTTGGGGAGAAAAAGGAAAAGTAAAATTAAAAAAAAAAAAAAAGTGTCATCCAGTCTCATAGCTTCTAATTCTGGTATCTGTCCATCTTCCATCCCCACGGCCGTGGACAGCTCTAATTTAAATTCTCATCATCTCTCACCTGATCTATTCCAACTGCTTCTTCACTGTTCTGCTTGTGTTTAAACCCGCCAATTATAATCTCCAAGTTGCAATCAGAGTGATATTTCTAAGACCTAAACCTAATCACACAACCTTCTTAAAAACATTCTAAGGTTCTCCACAGCCTATAGGCTTAAGCCTGAACTCCCTGTGTGGCATTCAAGGCCCCTCATGACCTAGTCCTATGATCTCTCTATACTCTTTCATTGTCCTCACCCTCTAACCCTACACTACTGCCACACAAACTGTTTAGTATTCCCAGAATATGCCGAGGAGCGTCACATCTCTGTATTTTTGCTCACACTGCTCACTCTTCCTGGCATGTCTTTCCCCAAATGCCACCTGGTAAACATTATCAATCCATCAGTCATGAGCTGAGGACGCGCGTCTACTATGAAGTCTTTTCTTTTCCCCACCCCCGTCATGTATCCCATATGGTTCACTATCCCAGGCCCTGTGATTCTTAGAAGCCCCTGTACTTGCTGACTTGTCTGTCTCCCCCACTAAACTGTGAGCTCCTTGAGAATAGGGACCCTGTCTTACTGGTCTTTGTATCTTCAAAGGGTCAGCTTAGGGCCTGGCACAGGACACTCTGTCAAGAGAAGAGCTCCATTATGTATTCTTTAGTATTTCTATTTCAGATGCTATAACTGGAGGGGTGAGGAAGCATGAGAGTTTCTCTTACTTTTTATGGAGTCTTCTGTCCAAGTTCATATATCCTAAGGCAAACATAAAATGACTCTCCATAAATGGCAAGAGAAACAGGTTTGTGACTAGCAAAACTGAAATAATAAAATTATAAGAGGACACGCTGTTAGCATTTAAAGGGACCTCAGAGATCATCTGGAATAAAACACTTCATCTACGGCCTGGAGACATTAGTAAATTGCCCAAGATCACACAGCCCACAGCAGCAGCAAGGAGAAATTTTCACAGCTCATCTCCTGAAAGATGCGCCACACGCAAATTTAATATTCAACATCCAAATAACGTAAGGTTGAAAGTTGAGAAAGTGTGCAGACATTTTATGAAAACATTATCCTGAGCAGCCCAGGTGAGGGTGGCGAAAGTGGCAAGTCCCTCCTATGGTCCCTTCCTGTCTATGACAAAAAAGACCTAATCAAGTTACACTGCTGGGACCCTCACAGGTGCCCAAAAGTTCCCGTGGTGCCTTGGGCCTGGAGTCCACACTGCCCAGAGAACCCAGTTCTGGTCTTTCGCTCGTTAGCACACTTGGCCCTCACCTCTCACCATCCAGGAAAATGCCATGAAAATGAGCCAGAGCTCAACATCGGAGCTAAGGGAACAGATCGTATCTAACGTCAACCAGGTCTTCAAACATGTCAAACTGCTGATGGAGATGGAAAATCTGGTCCTGGGGCAGACTGGTTTTTTGGTTCTTATAGGCATAATCCAGGTACTCCTCCCTAGGGGCTGCCACAGAGCCAACAGAGGAGGCACACAGAGGCCCAGGAATTTTTGTTCACTTATTTGTTTGAATTCAGCAGCCAGGTTAGGGTGACAGCTTCTGACCTAGGTCAGATGGGACCCCGGAGGTGAGGAAGGGGAGAGACGCCTTTGAGTGCCACGATCCTTCACTGCTACCCTAGGGGACGGTTCATGTGTGTCTCCAACCCATGATTTTGCACCATCAGACATGTTCCTGCATGCTTTAGGAACTGCTGCTGAGCCACCTGGGGGAGCCCAAGCCTAGGGGATGGGATTTGGGGAGGAAAGGGGAGGGAATCTACCATTGTTACGAGATAACACATTCATAGGCCATAATACAGATGAGGAAAAATAGCTCTCCTACCATAAGCTGAATGCAGGAACTGAAACTCTGTTGGATAGAAATGTTAGTTGAAATTACCACTAAGAACTTTTGCAAAGCAGTATACATTGCAGTTACAAAAACAGACTTTGTCTCAAGATAGCAGTTTTCCCCGGGCTACACAAGAAACAGTGAATGCAGGGGGTGCCAAGTGCCTCTACCCTGGAGGGGGGTGACAGACTTGCCATCCAGGAAAGCCCATTCATTGAGAAGGGGCACCTCCCTTGATGCCATGGTATCTCCTAGGCAGCTGGCCCAAGCTCCTGCTCTTTGCATGTCCATGCTAAGAATAAGTTCCAATTCTTCCAAGTACTGCAGAGGGACATCACATAAGATAGAGACTTCATGTGCTAGAGGAAGTGAAGGTTCAGGGAGAAAATCATCCTGTTTGGCCTCTAAAGAGCTCTCTGTAAAGCCCAGAGAGCTAGGACCAATGCAAGGGTACTTCATTCCCTAAGGCTGGGAGATGGGTAGAAGGAGTACAGGCTATGGGGTCAGACAGACTGGGTTTGAATCCCAGCTCCACTGCTTTTTAGCCATGCAACTTTGGACAAGTTCTTTAACCTCTCTGAGCAAAATCGGAGGCAAGAAGCTCTAACCCACAAGGATAAGGTAAAAATTAACGTTTGTGACATCCCTTGCACAGTGTCTGGAACACGGCAGATGCTCAGAAAACACAAATTCCTTTCCCCTGCCCTTCTCTAGCTTTGTCATATGCAAAATGGGAATAATACACTGGTACTTTACAAAGCTAATATTAAATCAAGTGAGACAACAGAGGAAAATGATTTATAAAAAGATTTCTTGTGAGGAGGTATTTCATTTTTATCTATATTAGTTATCCTGTTTATCCTTTCCTTCATTTTCAAGTTAGATTACCATTAATATGACAGATCCTTTGGTCTCCAGATTCTGAAAACGAGTCTCAGTTGGCTCCTGCCTCCTGTGGGGCCAAATTGTTCTTAAATAAGATCTCTGAAGTCATTAAAAGCTTGGAAAAAAGTTCCAAGTACCCACATTGCTTTCAGAACCAATGAAAGAGTGAAATGCTTCCCTGCAGCCTGGACAGATGGCATCTCAGGGTACTCAGAGCTGCTAAAAACAGCTTCCTCTGAAGCAACTTCTTGGTCTCCTTGAGGAAGCTGAGAGAAACGTAAACCTGAGAGTCTAGCTCCTGTGCAGGCTTCTACCCACAGGCATCGCTTGGCATCGCAAATGGCTGGCGCTGGCAGGAAGCTGAGAGTAACCTACACTGTCCTCTCTGTCCTTGACCCAGCTCCCCCAGTGCAATCAGGAGAACTGGTGAATGCAGAGGCCAGCCTCCCAACGTACGAAACAGACCAGCTGTGCATGTGTGTAACTCCAAAGGGAAGGGGATGTGCCCTATTCAAAATGAGCAGGAGAGTTAGCGCTAAAACCCCTCTCTTCCAACTCCCAGTTTGGGGCTTTCTGACACAACGTGCTAACACTACCTTCTCCAGTGGATTGTGTGAGTTTCTGAGAAAATGGTCTGGGTTGGTTTAGTCAGGGCTTAAAAATATGTCGACTTTTCAAAACATAAAACTGAGAAAACTCAAGTTAGATGAGGGGTGATATTTTGTTTTAAAATTAAAACTTAATTGGTCCTTTATGCATTCCAGGAGCTTTCCAATCTCTTCATATTTTTTTTTTCCCAGTCTCAGAGTCCCCCTGTCTGCTCCCCCTTCCCTCTCTACTCTGGTTGCTTCAGTCTAACACCTCAATTTCTCTCTGTTCAACTGCAACTATAATGTAGTGGTTAAGAGTGCACGCAGGTGTGGTGGCAGGATGCCTGGGTTTGGATCTATGGGCTAGTTCCCTAACTTCTCTAAGTTTCAGTTTTCCCACTTGGAAAACTGAAATAACAATAGTACTGACCTCAAAGGTTTGTTGTGATATAAAATAAGTTAATGCCCATAAAAAGCTTAAAATAGTGCTTGGCACATAGGAACCATTCAACAAATATTAGCTATTTATTCCGTCCTCCCACTTTCTTGCCAAACTAATCCTAAAACAATTCCACAATCTATCAGCAGTTCTAAACATCATGAGAAAACATGCCAGAGCTGGGGATTAGAGCCTTTACAAATTCACAGCCTCCACCCTCAGCTGGGCCTCCTATGTACGCAGCTGTGTTACCTGTTGGTAGTTTCCTCTCCCACTCCTCCCAGTGAGGCTTCCACACCTTGACCTCTCTCCTTAAGAACCCTCCTCTGTCCCTGCTCACCTGTTTCAGCAACTCAAGATTATTAGACAGGAACTCTCCACTTTCTGCTGGGCAATTTATTCTAAGCACCACCACCTGACACCTTTTCTTTAGTTTGAGAAGAAGAGCTGCTCTCCTGTGTGAGGCACCCCACTCCACCCGCTCCCCCAAACTAAGAAGAGAACTGACCTTTGGATTTCCCACCTCATCACAGCCTCCTTGGAGGCCTGGATCCACCTGGTACCCCTTCTCCTGCATCTCTGACTGGTCCTTCCCACTTGCTCCTTCCCATCAGTACTTATTTAATCATACTCATATCTGAAAAAAATCCCTCCTCTAACCCCACCTTCCCTTCTAGTCAACGCCTTCTTGTTCTCCTTTCCCTTGTACCCAAGCCTTTTGTAAGAGTAGGCCCTATCTGCTAAATCTACTTCACTCCCAGCCTCACTGACTGCTTCCGCAGAGGTCACTGACGGCCTCCCAACTATAAAGACAACGCATCTTCTTCACTCCTGATCTCATTTGACCTTCTACAATACTCACCTCATCTTGTTTTAGACTGGATAGTTTACCAAGCCAATTCACAGATCGTATAGCATTTAGATTTAAATCATTTCTATATCTTGAGATACGTGATAATCAAAATCACCACAGTTTTTAAGATAGAACTTATCAAATTCGATTAAGTCTTTTATCAGAGAGAATTTCTGTGTCCTCTTACAGCTTTTTTTGAAATATATATTTTATTGATTAAAAGTGAAGATAGAATAAAATACCAATGCTGAGATACCATTATAGATTCTTTAGCCTGTGTGTCACTGATCCCCTCATAAACAATTCGTGGGCAATGACTACAGCTTCCTCAAGTTTGAATCACCTACAATGTCTTCCAGAGTGCCTCGGGCATAGCAGGGCCAAAATAAACATCTGTGGAATGACACACCTATGTAAGCACTTTAAGGATTAACATCACTTATCTGCAAAAAATAGTTCTTGTCTGCCAAAAAAAAGAGGGGGCTCATGATGTATATGTGTGTGTGTGTAATACAATTATGATAGGATTCCTACTTTAGAGAGAGGCGACTGAGGTTCAGAGAGGCCAGGTGACTTTAAGGTTGCTAATCTAGGAAGTGACAGAGTCAGAACTCATATCTAGGTCTTCCGACATAGCCCATGATCTTTTCTCATTTAGACCTCCCAGAAGAAAGGGAATGACAGTAGGAATGAGTACTGGATTGGCACAGGGAAGCATGAGACCAAGAGCCAGGAGATCTGTCAAGTGTTCTAGTCCCTAGGCTACTGCTGATTCATTGGGTAACTTGGACAAAACACTGCTTCTCTCTGGATCTCCCTTGTCAAGAGAAGGAGTTGAAGTGGAGTATCTCTAAGGTTTTCTCAAGCTTTCTAACTCTAGAATAATAATTACTAAACAACAAAATGAGGGTATTATCATGATATTCAAGGCCTTTCCAAATCCGGCCCTTGCACATCTGTAGTTCAGATTTACTTATAGCCCACCAAGAGTCTATGCTTAACCATTCTCACTACTTCCAGCTTCTTCACAGTGTCATGTCCTCATGTCCATGCCTTTGCCCAGGCGCTACTCTGCCTAGAATGCCTAACTCTTCCTTTGTGTGCTTACCAGAACACCTCCTGCTTCTCCCTCAAGTCTCTGCTGCTAGGCCCTCAGTGAAGCCTCCCCTACACTTCCAACCTCAGGCAGACTGTTGTTCCCTTCTCCGCTTCCTCGTAGTCCTTTTACAATACTCATCACGCTGTACAGCAATCAATTTGTTTATATGCCAGCTCCCAAAAGGACTGTAAGCTACTTCAGGCAAAAATGGCATCCTTTCTTGTTTTATATTCCAGTATACAGGACATTCAACAAACAATCACTTGTTGGGTAAATGACGAGGAACTTACATAAAATCATCTAAAACCCTGAGGTAGGTAGCACATTTCTCAGAGAGGTGGGGTAACTTGTCCAAGGCCTCCCAACTAGTGAGTTGAGCAATCAGGATTCAAACCCAAGACTCTAACTGCAGAGCCCATACACCTTCTCCCGCCTCTTGAGTGTTAAAGCACTGCTGAGCATAGGGGGTAAGATCAGCGGTAAGACCTCTGTACTGCTCCTAGCCCAAACTACAACAAGCTTTTTCAACATTTTAAAATCTATTTCAACCTCTATCCAGGGAGTGTTGGGCCTTTACTATTTTTGAAAAATAAGTTCCTTGCCTCAGCTTGAAAACTGGCTCTTCATCCTCTGGTGGCAAGTCTCTCACTCTCTTCCAGATCCACACCCAGGAAGTCTGCTGTGTGTGTGTGCTTGTGTATGTGTGTCTCAATGGCAGCCTCAGGGGAAACTGAGCAAAGAATGGATTTGGACATTGTTTGGGAGAGCAGAAAAGGTCCTGTGAGGAGGATGCGTATCTCAGATATTCCAGCAGAGGAGAGATGGGCCAACCTTAAGTCCCAAAGAGAATGGAGGAGATTCTATTCCCACCCCAACTCGGAGGCTGAACTGCCCCAGCTCCCAGAGGGAACTCCCAGGAGAATCAGGCTTGGAAAGGCTGAGCCCAGAGCAATTAAGGACAGGGAAAGGTCAGCAGGTGGGTCTGTTTTTCCAAATAGAGCCCAACATCCCACCCCACTCACCACTGCTGTCTCCACTTTCTCCTTACCTGGAGCATAACTGGGGCTATTGGTGGGGTACAGGCTGGGATTGTAGGCAGGGGCTGCTGCCGGGTAGGCTGTGGGGTAACCTATGAAGAGACAAAAAAGCCCCATTTAGTCAGCAAGAATAAAAAGCAGATTTTTGAGGAAACAGATTCCAAGTCCCAGGCTTGGCCTTCAGCCTCCTCATGGCCATTTCAGACAGTATTTATGTGACCAACTTTTAGCCTCTCAAGAAAAGTCACCAATACCACAATCCCAACACACGCAGATTTTTCTGTCCAGTTTTTAAAAGCAGTACAAGAAATATATGTCTATATGCTCACTGTAAAAAAACTGAAACACTACAGAAGCGTATATGGTAAAAAGTGTAAATTTACTTTCACATTCCTGCCATACTACTCTCCTCCCCAGAGGCAGTAACAGTTTGGCATCTATCCTTCCAGCAAGTTTTTTGGAATGCATTTTTATACACATATATTCAGTGGTGTGCTGGTAAATATTTAACAAGTGGCTCAAGGGAATTGAGGTGGAGCCTTATCTGTAGCATTTGTCAAGTTCCACGGTGAAGATCCTCCCATCATGGCCCATCAAGCTACCAACATCACTGAATGAGCAGCTGGAAGGAGACACTCGCACTTGGCTCTAGAGAGCCCACACAAGCCAGATCCAACCCACCACTGTGTATAATCATAGGGTTTTTTTGGGGATATTTTTTGTTACAAAACATATACAACATAAAATTTCTGATTTTTTTTTTTAAAGATTTTATTTTTTCCTTTTTCTCCCCAAAGCCCCCCGGTTCATAGTTGTATATTCTTCGTTGTGGGTCCTTCTAGTTGTGGCATGTGGGACGCTGCCTCAGCGTGGTTTGATGAGCAGTTCCATGTCCGCGCCCAGGATTCGAACCAACGAAACACTGGGCCGCCTGCAGCGGAGCGCGCGAACTTAACCACTCGGCAACAGGGCCAGCCCCTAAAATTTTTGATTTTTAACCATTTTAAGTGTACAATTCAGTGGCATTAACTATATGCACTATGTTGTGTAACCATCCTCACTATCTGTTTCTAAAATTTTTTCATCACCCCAGACAGAAACTCTGTACCCATTAAGCAATAACACCCCATTCCCTCTTCTTGTAGCCCCTGTTAACCTCTATTGTACTTTCTGTCTCCATGAATTGCTTATTCTAGATATTTTATATAAGTGGAATCATACACCATTTATCCTTTTGTCAGGATTCTTTCACTTAGCATGTTTTCAAAGATCATCCGTGTTTTAACATCAGAATGTCATTCATTTTTATGGCTGAATAATATTCCACTGCACATTCTGTTCGCCCATTCATCTGCGGATGAACACTTGGGTTGTTTCCACCTTTTGCACATTGTGAATAACGCTGCTATGAACACTGGCATAAAAGTATCTGTTTGAGTCCACGTTTTCAGTTCTTTTGGGTATATACTTAGGAGTGGAATTGCTGGGTCATATGGTAATTATATATTTAGCTTTATGAGGAACCACCAAACTGTTTTTCACAGTAGCTACACCATTTTACATTCTTACCAGCAATGCATGAGGGTTCCAATTTTTCCATATCCTCACCAACACTTATTTTCTGCTTTTTTGATTATATCCATCCTACTATGTGTGAAGTAGTATCTCATTGTGGTTTTAATTTGCATTTCCCTAATGATTAATGATGTTGAGCATCTTTTCATGTGCTTATTGGCCATTTGTATATCTCTTTGGAGAAACGTCTATTTGAAACATTTGTCCATTTTAAAAATTGGTTTGAATAGTCATTTTAACATATTCTGGATATTAAATCCTTATCAGATATATGATTTGCAAATATTTTCTCCCATTCTCTGGGTTGTCTTTTCTCTTTCTTGATAACGCCTTTGATGCACAAAAATTTTTAATTTTGATAAAGTCTAATTTATTTTTTCTTTTGTTGCTCATGCTTTTGGTGTCATATATAAGAATCTATTGCCAAATCCAAGGCCATAAAGATGTATCCTTACATTTTCTTCTAAGAGGTTTGGGCTCTTATATTGAGATTATTGATCCATTTTTGTATATGGTGTGAGGTAGGGGTATACATAGTTTTATATTCTATTTTTTCACTTTAATATTATAAGCATTTTCTCATGTAATTACATATTCTTCAAAAACATTATTTTTAGTATCTTTATAATATTCCATTATGTATATATATCAAATCATTTAACCATTACTCTATTTTTAGATGTTTAAGTTGTTTGCAAATTTTCATTATTATAAGTAAAGATAGGAAAACAACCTAGATAAATCTTTTGTTGCATCTCTGATTATTTTTTTAGGAACGAGTTCTAGAAGTGAAATTTCTAGGTCAAAAGATAGTGCTCTTTTCAAAGTTCTTCCATTCAACAAATATTTGAATATCTACTCTGTGCCATACACTGTGATCCCTGCCCCTATGGAGCTTATGTTTTAAGAAGGTGGGAGAAGGGAGTGGATAAATAGTAAATACAAACAAACACAGTCTTGAGTACTATGGAAAAGAGAAAAAGGGCAGAGTAAAGGGCATAAGAAGTGCCAGAGTGTTGAGGGGAGGGCACTGCAATATTAAATAGAATTACCAGTATAAGCCACATTAAGAAGGTAAGATTTTCACAAAGACTTGAAGGAAATAGAGTTAACCAAGCAGACGGCTGAAAGAAGAGCATTTCAGATGAAGGAAACAGTCAATGCAAAGGCCCCAGTTGGGAACACATGGGGCATGTCCAAGGAAAAGCGAAGAGAACAGTGTGGCTGAAGTGGAACAAATGAAGGAGACAGTAGTAGTAGAGGAAGTCAGACAGATAAAAGGTTGGTCAGGTTATGTAGGGCCTTATAGGCTACTGAAAGGACTTCCACTTTTACTCTGAGTGAAATGAGAGGTCATCCGGGGTTTTGAGCAGAAGAATAACATATGACTTATGTTTTGAATAGGGTCTCTCTGCTGTGTTGAAAAGACTCTAAGAGGGGAAGGATAGGGTAGAGGCTACTGCAAACTCCTGGTAATAGATGATGGGGCTCAGATCAGGGCAATAGGAGCAGAGGTGATTAGAAGTGATATGCTAAGAGTTTTCATTTACTTTGCCACACTGCTTTCTAAAAAGATTATCAATCTGTACGTGCACTAGCAGTGTGTAAGTGCCTGTCTCATTGCTCCCTGCAGTTTTTTAATGCTCACTGGTGTTCTGACTGACAATGGAAAGCTGATTTTAAAAGTCAAAGATTAAATCCCTAAATCCCTAAAAGCTTCTTTGGGATTTGTAAATATTGAGCTTTAATAATATATCTTTGTTAATATGCCTTTCCCTAAATCCTTTCCAACTCCAAAGAAAATTCATCTCACTTTACTCCCCAATCATCTTCTGATTACACAACTGAGATAGCCAACTTGTCACTTAATTAGCAATATGGAGGTCTGCCACTTCTTGAGAAGAAACTCGGGGGTTTAATCTGGGAGGCAAAGTAATCCAGTTTCATGGCTGAAATCTGTATTCAGGTTCACATGAGAGACCGTGCAGCCAAAGGTAATCACACCCTTGTTATGTCATTTCAGATGCCTGTTACTTTAGGGCTAATTACAGGATCTTCCTTCCATGTTTCCAAGTAGCATTATTTTTCATTCACTTGAATTTGGCAGGTATCATAGAATGGCAGCATTAGGAGGAGCTTTATTTGGTCCAACTCTCTTCATTTTTGTAGATGACATCCTCAGGGTGAGAAAAACGAAGGGACACAGGGTCACAGATTGCTGAGGTTAGAAAGCACCTTAGGGGCTGGCCCAGTGGCACAGCAGTTAAGTGCATACGTTCCACTTCGGCGGCCCAGGGTTCACCGGTTCAGATCCCGAGTGGAGACATGGCAGTGCTTGGCAAGCCATGCTGTGGTAGGCGTCCCACATATAAAGTAGAGGAAGATGGGCACAGATGTGAGCTCAGGGCCAGTCTTCCTCAGCAAAAAGAGGAGAATTGGCAGCAGTTAGCTCAGGGCTAATCTTCCTCAAAAAAAAAAAAAATTAATAGAAAGCACCTTAAAGGTCATTTGGTCCACCTTCACATTTGCGGCTAGAGCCGCTTCTACAACACGTTCATGGGATCATTTACCCCAGCCCTTACATCTCTACTGACCATGAACTCCTTCCTTTCCAGGGACTCCCACTACACTATGAGACTGACTACCTGAAAGTAACTTCTCATACCTCACTGCACTTTATCTGTAGCTTCTACCCTTTAGAACAGAACAAATTTGAAGACACATGCATCCCCAATTACAGAACTTATACTGTACTTCAACGGCTTATTTGCATTTCCTGTCCTGTCCCCCTCTCCCCAAACTGTAAGCTCCTTGAAGGCACAGCTATGTCTCATTCGCCTATACACAATAGCTCTTGGTCAGTTCCTCCTTCCCACTCCCTGCCCTGTCAACACACCACCTCTCCCCTCCCCTCAGCCTGAACAGCAAGCATCTGAGCTTATCAAATACAGGGTGGCGATGAATAGTCTGTGTGGCCAGTAGAGATATCCCTTCCCTACCATCAACTTTCCCTGTCCAAAAATGGCAACACAGGTAAGTTGGGCTTTCTCCCTACAACTCTCCTCATTTTGTTTTATTTTGTTTTCTTGTCCCCAACTGATATTATTCATCTTGATGCCTTTGTTGATGATGATGTTGGCATTTCTACTCCCTAGCACAGATAAGGCAGAGAATAGGTACTCAGTGAAGAGATTACCAGGGCAGCTGTATTCTGAAGCCATGAGAGGTTTAAAAACAAAATAAACAGATCCAACAGGGTCCTTGGCCTTGAGAGGGTCACTAACTAATGAGGAAGAAAGATGGATAAGTGGACAGTTAGAATGCAGCCTGAAAAGTGTCATGATAAGGACAGAGAGTGGACAGAGAAAGGGCCTTCGTCAACCAACATTCATTTGGCACCTAGTGTCTGCCAGAGATTACACTGGGCACTAGATGTCCCTAGATGTGGACAAAAAAGGGGAGGAAAGACATTCCAGGCAGAAGCACAGAGGGTAACATTTTGGAAGCATCCATAAGT